AAAGAGCTGGTAATTCTCACTATAATAGTTAAAAACTAGATAATGTAATGGGAATTTGCTGAAAATTTCAGTCAAATTGATCCACCCTGAACCGAGTATTTAGCGACTGAATTTTGGGCCTAGCCTCGATCATTATTACTAAAGTTGGTACGATAAAAAACAGTTTCAACTATCCATTTTTTTATTTAATCAGAAGCAGCAGACCGGGTTCTAATCCAGTAAATATCGCAAGCTAGTGATGCTATCAAGAGTTGATTATGGTCTGGATAAGTTAATTAATGTCTAATTAATAATTTAGATAACATTTCAGGCCTAAAGAAAGACCTCCAGTTGGCAGATTTCGCTCTTGCATAATGTATGTTTAAGTATTGAGATTAGACCGTCTTGAAACGGTATATCATAAATGTTTTAAAGTAGCCACCACTTCTGGTTCATTAATAATATATATTATGATGGAAATGAAAGGAAGTTTAAAACAGTAACCATAAATTACACTTGTGGTCCATCAATAATATATGATGGAGATAAGGTACCATAGTATAAAACAGTAACAATAAATGCATCCATAGAGCCAAAAACTTGTACACTGGAGAATTTAACTTTTATTTAATTTACATACTGTACCATAAAATTAAGTATTTTGAGAAATTTAACACCAAAACACAACAAATGAATGTATATACAGTGATACTTATAGTTCCTGTGTGTAAAAAGGTCTAAAAATAGGCTGTACATCCATGTAAATTTAGATCATGCTAAAAATAGCCAAATTTCTATGAAAAAAACTTTCGTTAATCTGAGATAAACAACAAAATGCACTATAAATTCACTGACTCTCATACGATCCACAAAACAGTTGAACCCCATTATCATTTCATTACATGAAAGTATTTATTTCTAAAACCAATGTAAAAGTGCATGTTCTGAGATGATAACTTCACTTTTGTTTATCACAAAATCTTAAATATTGGCCAATAATTTCATATCATACTACATATGCTCACCATTATCATGTTTTAATTTAAATATTTTTTACTAGATTTAAAGAATATCTTTCACTATTTGTATACTGGTTTTCTTGTTTTCTTTCTCTTGCCATAAGAAATATCAAGTTTGTTTTTCTATAAATTCTGCCAAGGTTTTAAGACTTATGCTTAACAGATGAATCTCTGACATACTGAGATTTGAACATTCATGTGAGTTATTTTTACAGTGTTCACTTGTGGTCATCTCAAAACAATCTGAGTGTTGCCATATGAGCTCATAGAACAGATTTTGGCACAGAGAAAAGGCAAAATACGTATAGTTTAGGCCTACATAATATGTATCTCCAGACAGGTTGGTTTATATTTGTCTGAAACACCTGATTAGCTTCACTAGCATTTAGCACTTTTGTTTCTTTCTCAAGACATGAGATATCTAAATAGTAAATTACAATCATAAAGGAACTAAACCTCTTTCACATAGATCGAAATAAAATATTGAATTGGACTGATCTGATTTGATATTTCAATTTATAATACATGTAGTCACAGATTCTATAACATTAGGTTTTTGTTTCGAAAACACATATGTCAACGATGGCTTTATCTAGGGGTTAAGTCTGTCATCGAAGACAGTATGCCATTCCACAAAACTAATCATCATACAAAACCTAATCAAATCAAGAATCAACAAAAATCTTGTACTTTAATACTTACAATACAAGTACAGACAGACACACAAATTAAATTGATAATTCAGGAAATAATGACCTTAATTTCAAAGTAGATATATGATCACAAGAAAAAGAACAATATGCAGTACTTCCTCTTGATTTCCTGTTGCTTAGATATTTGCACTGACAGATTCAATTGATAAATTATATAAATACATGTACATGTATTGTAACAAATTTTACAGTGAATTTAATATACCAGAAACAAAGTTATAACTAAATTTAACTTGCACAGGGGCGGATCTAGGAAGTTTGAAAAGGGGGGGCGCCGCAAAATGAGGGCACGCGCTGAGAGGGGGGGGCCCCTTGCATCATTTCCTTGCATCTTTAGCCATTCCAAGAGCTATTTGGCTGATATTTTCGTCTAAGTAAACGTTCGGAAATCGTTGAAAAAGAGCCTTAAAATCGAGCAAAAAAGCCAGTTGAACATGCGACTCGAAATTTGTCAAGGCGAGCGAGGCATTATGATGGCAAAAAAAAACCGAATCTATTCCCTAGCCACTTCACTATTTAAGCCTTGTAACTTGTACTGTGTACTGTCCACACATGAAACAGTGCTACATCAAGTTGCACTCATGAGCGTCGGTGATGGACATGAGTGTATACGCCGCCGATTCCACAAGATGTCTGTCTATAGTCACTCTATAGGATTAGGGCACCGTCAGCTAAACAACAAGAATTCGTTTGAAAGTGGAAGCATTAATTAGACCAGACTGGTGTGTTTGAGTCAATGGTTTGAGTCATTTGGGATCCCTGCAACGGGTTGGGAACGGACATATTTGGGTCTGAGAAAAGGCACTTTCAGCAGTAAAAAAGAGCACTGTCGAAAATTAGGGGGGGGGGCACGGCCCCTCGCCCCCCCCCCCCTTGAATCCGCCTCTGTTGCATGAAATACACTGTCGATCAACTTAAAATTCAAAATTTATGACACTAGTCAATAATATGTTACATATTGTTTGTTTAAATTGAAAATACAGTAGGCCTATTTACTTTATTATGTGATTTTTATCTAACTGTAATGATTACAAAACTGTAAAGCCTTGTGCTTGTGTTATCTTCTATAATCTTATAAACATATTAAAAATAAACAAAAATATCTAAAGAGGCATTAGAACTTTGGAGGTCTTATAGCGGGTTGATGAAAATACAAAAGTTCAGATTTGACTATATACAGTTATATGGGCCATATTCAAATTATATTGTATACAAAATTTAATGCAAATCTGTCAATTTATGAGTAGTACAATATTTTTTAGGGATTTTTAATGAAGCCACCACCCTCACCTTTCTTTTGTCAAAAATATATTTATTTTAACAGTCATGCATGCTTATTTATAATGTTTCTATGGTACACTACAAAGGTGATGGACAAGAAAGAAATCACCTCTTAAATTCAATTTAGGAAGCTCCCGAAGGTTTTGCTTGTCTACCTACTTTTCAGAAATTTTAGATACTTCATTACGCCCTTGGTTTTATGTTATTCAGACCCTGAACCTAATGACTAATAAAATTGTCTGTACACTATAGATATAAAGGACTGCCTATAGTGGAGAAAGTGTATTTGGGAATGATTCTGTATGCTTTAGTAGGTTATATTATATAATTGTATAATCCTATGCAATACAATTGTCTGATATAAATAGAATTTATCTGGACAAAATAACATAGTAAGTCTGTGACAGAAAGTTGGTTATATTATTATATTACAATGGAATTTGTTTTTTTAAAAATCAGAAAACTTGTAATCATATTGTTTTAACTTTAAATTTGTGGAAATATTTTTAAAAGGTCATTTTCTGTAATTAATACTATATTTATAATGAGTGGTATGTGTAGGATAACACCAGTTTGTAATACTAATATGAACATATTGCACACAAATATACCAGTAATTCTTAAAATATACCATGCAAGCTCATATAAATGCTGCAACAGAATATCCTAAAGGCATACATATAAAGTATATATTGCAGGGTAATATAACCTATTCATTTATATATTGTTGCAATCTTCTCTATCTTATCTTTATGCACAGGTTTTATGCCAGAAAAAAGGGGGTTATAAAAAGCACTAAAATAATCTTAGCTTGACATCATAAATATGCAGTATTCATAAACATGTGCATAAAACAAACAATTTTTACAGTTATTGTTGTTGGTATTCATGACTTAACAATCTATATAAAATATATTTAAATAAAAACAGGGCGAAAAAAAAAACAGGTAGCGTTTTATTGTTGCTTTTAATTCTTACTATTTTTTAAAATAATTATGTCATGAAGCTATGAATTGGAAATAACCTGCTTTTGGTATAAATTATTCAATGACATGACTATAAAATTAGTAAGAACCCTTTAAAAAAGTGTACTCTAATTTATTGAAGATAATTCCAATTGAATTAAAAATTAAAGCCACTGAATGTCAATATTCAAACTATTCTATCTCTCAAAATATTGCTTCAAATTGTTCAAATCCCTTTCAAAACATTTTCATTGGAAGAAACCTATCCAAATCTGTAAAATTCTTCTTTTTTTTTGTCACATGGCTTGATTAAGGGGAGGGACCATTTTCAGCTTGTATAATTTGTCATTACTCTCTGTCCATTTACCTTAAATTATCTAAGCATAAGTAAATTCTTGGATTCTCCTCTGTCAACTTCTTTTTCCTGCGGTTTAATTGTAAAGTCTGCAGTATGTTTAAGTGTCTCTCTATTCTCCCAACCACAAGACTTTCGATCACCAAATCCAAGCACTCCCTATGTCATTCAAGCATACAGCAAACCGACAGGTTAAATGTACTCAAAATTTAATTAAGAAAACAAAATCAACATATTAATGGTATATCCCCCGGCTTCCTAAATGGAATCGATACATTTTTAGACCGATGCTTATTTTAGAGATTCCAGGTTTAGTTTAGGTCATTGTTGTTTGAAAGCAACTAAAATTTCGTCAAATAATAACAATCAGACTTTAGAAATATCACCAAATTCATATTCCAATCCAGTTATTTTGAAATACAATATATGAATATAATAATTATAAATTGTTGTCAGAAAAGATAGCGGATGTACCTTACACTATTTACTGTGAGCAATTAAATTTCTTTCATTGATCATCAGTCATCAAATCATAGCACTGACAGTGCTATGCAGTTTAACTGTTGTTCTAGAACTCTACAGGCTAGAGATAACAAAGTATAAATAGTAGGCTTTTGCAAATGCAATGCGCAATAACGTGATGAAATAGTGCTCGTAGACATAGAGATGTGTAAAACGTGTTACTTACCAAATATCAGTCAAAGTATGCCATAGAAAACTTATTTAAAATACTAATCTTGGTTCAGTTATGGTTGAGATGTCACTAAATTCATTGAACGCGTAGATTCTCTTCCATAACCATCCTTCGAACAAAGACTTCGCGCAGCAGACGAAATGTCACGTGACTATGATTAACGGGGGCGAATCAGCTGATTTCAAGGTTGACATAAATGGGAATTGACCATTAATTTTGTCAATGTGCAGGGTTGTTTTCACTAAAATATCCCCATTTTAAGTTGATATATTTAGAGTTTTAATTATTATTAACTACGGAATCAAAAAAGATAGACTGATTTTGAATAAAATAAAGTCCATTCATTCAGAATGTGGTCCATAAAATCTATTTCAGTCTAACGGGATTTTCCCCAAGTGATACACAATGAACTGCGCGTGCACAGTCATGTGGCTAAATATAGAAATATGAATGCTGGCATCACACCTCGTACGTATTCACTTGTGGCAGCAATTTGGAAACGGTCTAAATAAAGAAATAAAACGTGTTGGTAACATGCGTTCACTTGTTGAAATGTCCGAGACACCAGATGATCACCATCTCCCCATTTGCACCTGTATTTGGCATGCGAGTTATTGATCGTAAAGGGCGTACGGGCTGTATTATTTGGAACAGTAATAAATAGACAAAAATGTGTCTAAGAGCTATAAAGTAGATTAATTTGAACTTTTGAAAATAAACAAAAATATTATAATTTCTAATCAGTTATCTTTGGTGAAATACGTGAACAGTCCATATTGAACGACAGCTGTTGACGACAGCTTCGTCCATTCTACACATTTTTAAAAAAAAATATTTTGTCGTTTTCGAATCGGCCAATAGTACCTCTGAATTGCTTTGCAGGATATTTTTTTTCTTTGTTCATTACAAATGGTTGGCACCCAAAACCATTGAATACAGTACTGTTTATAAAATGTCCATCATGTCTTAAATATTGGATATTTTAAGGTACCATATTTTCACAGCAATATATAAAAACATTGACCATTTGAAATGAACCAATATTAAATTCGATCTAATGTGTTTTTAATTTCGAATATTATGAAAAATATTGAGTTAGAGGTTTAACTCATTTAAAGTCTCTAGCCTATGGTAGAAACAATAAACTGAGGTCACACATGTACACATTGGCATGCACAAAAAAGAACCCTTGACAGTTGAAATAAGAGTAAGCCTATATAACGCAGCTGTCCAGTTGGTGCCTTTAAGCATTTTTCTTGTCTAACTTTATATTCAATGAATTGCATGTAAAAGAGCAATCAAATTCTCTGTTTTAATGAATAAGGAGTGACATAGCAAGTTAAATCAATATAAGACCTGGTTGTTAATCAATTATTAATGGCTTGTGTATATATGCAAAGTTTGTAATGAAGCCTAAAATTTATTAGCCTGTCGACATTTCTTGCAATGTACTTAAATGATAAAAATTGAATATGAGGAGAAAGAACAAACATTACTTGGACTTTGTAATATATTGGTGTTGTACATATATCAGCATGACAGCCAGTTTAGTCAAGTGGCCACTTATTAAAGTGAATTGTGTCAGTTAACAGGATGGATTGTATAAGTTCAACAGAAAATTTACTGCCAGAAGAATATCACCACAAGTTTTTATTACAGGTTTATGTTACTGAATAAATTATAATCTACTTGATAAATAAATTATAATCCATTTATCTTGACCCAGCCTAAACTAGCAAATAAAATCCACAAACTGTGCAAGTGAACTGGAAAAATGTGGCCTCAACTGGTGTACGATTGTTGGAAGTAAGACGTAAAATGAATTCAGATCTAGTTTAAAAGGCACTTATATATTAGATCCAAAGTGTGTAGGATTGTAGTTGACATTTTAATTATTTTATTTGTACTAATATCACCAGGGCCTCTCTGTTTAAAGGCTATTATTCTGCATTAATAATGTGAATGTCTATACATTAAAATCTTTTAATCATTGCTATCTTTAATATAACTCACTATATTATTATGTTCCTTCTGAGCAAGATTTAGAGTTTTAAAAATCTCTCTAGATATAAAAGAGAAAGTTTCTTTGATGGCTGTGAATGTTGAACTTACAAATTTCAAATAACTTGACAAGAAATGTAAAAGGTTTGTATTTGGTGCATTTAATGCTGAAAATAAGTTTTTGTTGTACTAAGTAGTGCTGGATATTGCCACTGCAGTCACGATACCATACATATTGCAATTAAGGTGCTATGATACGTATTACGATTCATAACCATGTCAATATTTACCAAGAAAACCAGCGGCTGCCACTCATAGGCGTACGGGGAAATTTTTGACTGGGGGGCGGGGGGGCGGTGGTGGTTGGTGCCCAAAAAATGTAGTTAGGTTCTTAGTATGTTACATAATAATAATAAATTCGCTGTTAAATTGGACACATTCAAGAACACAATATTTTTTTTTATACAACTTCTACAAAATACAATTGTGTGCCCAAATTTTCCCAGCATTTGGTGCCCAAAATGGGGGGGGGGGGGCGGCCGCCCCCCAGCTCGTACGCCTATGGGCAGGATACGCCCACATTTTCGAGAGATGGATAGAAAACAAGCTAAAACGAAATTGATTTTTCCTACAATCAAGGGCCATAATTCAGGAAATTACAATTCGATATGCGCAAATATCGAAAGGAACCAAGATCTTTGAGTTATAAACTTACATTTCAAGTTTCAACAAAATCGGATAAAAATTGTGACCTCTATAGGGTCAACAACCTTGATATATCTAATTTTTACGCAATTTGAGAACGAGGGGTGGCCATTTTGTCTGTCAGTTTTGGGCCGATTTTCACGAAATTCAAACTCAGTCGTCCTTAGGGTGTAACGGTGATATAATAATACGTTTTTTTTTAAATCGGATAAAAATTATGACCTCTGTAGGGTCCACAAGCTAAAACGCGATTTTTCGTACAATACCATAATTCAGTAAGTTACAGTCCGATATGCGCGAATATCGACAGGAACCGAGATCTTTGGGTTATAAACATATATTTCAAGTTTCAACAAAATCGGATAAAAATTGTAACCTCTATAGGGTCCACAACCTTGATATACCATATTTTTACGCTATTTGAGAACGAACGGCGGCCATTTTGTCTGTCAGTTTTGGGCCGATTTTCACGAAATTCGAACTCAACCGTCCTTAGGGTGTAGTAACGGTGATATATTAACACAGATTTTTAAATCGGATAAAAATTATGACCTCTATAGGGTCCACAAGCCAAAAAACGCGTTTTTAGGTATAATCAAGGGCCATAATTCATGAAGTTACGGTCCGATATGCGCGAATATCGAAAGGAACCGAGATCTTTGTGTTATAAACTTAAATTTCAAGTTTCAACAAAATCGGATAAAAATTGTAACCTCTATAGAGTCCACAACCTTGATATATACCATATTTTTACGCTATTTGAGAACGAACGGCGGCCATTTTGTCTGTCAGTTTTGGGCCGATTTTCACGAAATTCGAACTCAACCGTCCTTAGGGTTTAACGGTGATATAAAGAAACGTTTTTTAAATCGGATAAAAATTATGACCTCTATAGGGTCCACAAGCTATAAACGCGATTTGTTATACAATAAGGGGCCATAATTCATGAAGTTACGGTCCGATATGCGAGAATATCGAAAGGAACCAAGATCTTTGTGTTATAAACTTACATTTCAAGTTTCAACAAAATCGGATGAAAATTGTGACCTCTACAGTGTTCACAAGCCAAAAACGTGATTTTTCGTACAATCAGGGGCCATAATCCATGAAGTTACGGTCCAATAGATGCCAATATCGAAAGGAACCGAGATCTTAGGGTGATAAACCTATATTTCAAGTTTCATTGAAATCGGATAAAAATTGTGATCTGTAGACTGTTCACAAACAATTGTGGACGGACGGACGGACAGAGGCGACGACAATATGTCCACATGAAAATGTGGGCGTATAACAACAGGATAAAAGAATAATTGATATTTTTAGTCCTGCCGATGTCGAAGTAATAAAACAATTTTATCACACGATATTGATGTGTATCAAAAGACCAAATCAATTTAAGAGTGTTTGTGTACCTATGGATAATGGATAATGTGTGACATGTATAATGTGTGACAGGTTCTTACTGAAGAGACATAAAACCCTAAAAACAAATCGTGATACATTGATCCAGCATCTCGCGATTCAATACATGAATCGTGAGAAGGTAAATCGCGATATATCAATTCAACCAATCTGATAAAAACACAAATCCTAGTTCGTTTCGTTTTCTATAGTTCAAAATTTCCTTTTACTTGTCTTTACTACACTAGGATCTGGAAGAGTTGTTATCATTGACGTGAGGTATTAGCCAATAATACGGTGAGCTTTAGGTGTGAGCTGCACGGAACTGTGAGAAATCCACGAGAAACATCAATGCTGATTGGTTAATCAAAGATCTGACATCATAGGGTCAAAAGCTGCTTGTATGATCTCTAACGTGACCCCACAAAACAACTGGTCAAATTTTAATGTAGTGTAGGCCATCGAAAGTATAAAAAACGAAAGAAATTTTTAATCAGATTGCGATTCAACGATATAACGTGCCAGCACAAGTATAAAGATGGCTCATACAGATAACGATGATAAGTGTAAGTCCATACTACACTCTAAAGACCCAACCGCTCCTAATTTGAATTACCATGAAATTCATACTCTGAGATCCATTAAAATTCCATTGAGCAGTTATTTAGATATGGTCAATTTCCACCATTTTTAGCGTGCTCAACTGCCTCTGATAAAGTATCAAATATGAATCTGTGGAATTGTAGTAAAGTGAGGATGAACCCAATAGACATTACATAAGCCCGAGTCATAATTATTTAATTTGCATATTATGTTAAACTGCACAAATGACTGTATACACTCTCCTTAAAATGTCAAACAAGACATTTTGATCCGACAAGAATATTATTTTTTATTCAAAGAACTATATATCTTAACAGAAGGAAAAAAAATCACAAGTGCAACTGGCTTTATAAACAAACAAACGTTGGTTAAACTTGGTTTAGCTATTTTACTACTATTTAGAATTACACTAATGTTACAGCAAAATATATGGAGGCTTATTCCAGGAAATATTTGAGCATATGGTATAGATAAATATATATTAGTTGGCACATGATCTAATTACAATAATAAATACTTACAATAAAACAAAATACTTGGAATGGAAAGCTATTTCATCAACTAAATAGAAAATTAAAAAGTTAGCAAAAATATATAAATAAAATATATAATGATAAATTTTTAACAATTGGGGGTAAATGGGAGAAAATGTCTATATCTCGTATATTCTTGAGCCCAAAACACAAGTTTTCATCATACATGTTCAAAAGAGAAAGAGAAATGGGGTCCACATGACACAACCATGTTATTTTGGAACGAACATGGTACAATTTTATTTCAATAATTCGATTGTGCATAGGGGTCTTTTGTAAGGGGATGAAAACCGGGGGATCTGGATAAAACCCACAATGTTGGGCAGGCAACCCTACTCTCTGTCATATAATTACATGGGATCGAAACCTCGCCACTTGACTCAATCACAGAGCTTATGATCACCCAACACCAACATATAAGAAATCAACTGTTGCAGGATATGTCTGGCAATATGTGCAAGTAATGTTTGCTGAGAGCCTTATAGTACATATAGGTATGTTTTAAAGGGTCAGATATTGGTCTTATCAAATATAAATGTCGACATATGCTGGCATGGGCTAGTGTTGGAGAAAAAAAAATTATGATTGACAAAAGGAAATACTGAATACATAACATTATATCATATAAATAAAAGAGCCGGTATACTGTATATTATAAAATATTGCACAAAATAAGCAGTACTACCAGTACTGTTTGCTGAATATGGTAAATAAATGAGAAGTACAATTCTAAGGTATATCTAAAGTAACCTACAATAACTGTGTAAACCCACAACCAAAAAGAAAGAAGTTGAATTTGTTCCCATGAGTTTGTCAATACAGTTTGGTTTAAACAAGCAACAAACAGTACATAATCATAAATTATGAGAAAAAATATACTTGCAATTCTCATTCTCAGAAATTCTGACTTTGTTTTTTTTTATAATAAATTGTCTTTATAATAGAAAATTTCCTATAGAAATTGAAAACAGAATGACATTGTTATATGATAGAAATTATAATAGTAACATCAATCAAAACAAAGTTGAGATCAAGATGACAAAAATAGATAATGTACAAATTGACTTTAATTTGGGAAATAGAAATAGTAACCAGAAAGCACAGTTTTAGCGAATCATAATCTATACTGGTCATTGTTCTGACAATGCACACATAAATACTAATACTTGTTCTTACAGGGTTATGCATCGTCTTTGCTCTACATGTGAAATATTTGTAAAATAGGATGTCTGTTTGAAACTTTGTTCTCAAAGTCTCGGGTAGAATGTGGTTACTTTGTTCTAATATTTGTTCCTAAGGCTTGTCATTGTTCTATTATTTGTTCATAAAGCTTTTGGTCTTCTTTAGTATTTGTTCTTAAAGCTTTAACCATAATGTATTTGTTCTTTAACCATAATGTCTTTGTTCAAAAAGTTTGGTTTAGAATTTGGTGTCTTTGTTCTAAAGTTTGGTTATATAGAAAATGTCCCATATATGTTCTTGCATATACTGTTATCACATAAAAAAAGATTTAAATACAATAAAATATACTATTAAATATGAATATATAGCATGTACATTTATATTAAATATACAATAGGCCATTGTTTAGAGCATTGACATCTGTTTGTATTCAGTTAATGACACAATTCAGTCAACTACGGAAGGTTTAATAGTCAGAACGTTTGACAACTAGTGTAGGCCATGTCTGTCATATATGGGCGAAGCAGCATCCAAATTTTGATCCGTCTTGTTCTCAAATATGTTGTGGTGTTGTTCACAATAAAGTTGATTGATTTATCAAATCATATTTTCATCGATATATGTACAGAACTAGCGATTGCCAGGCAAGATACGCCCACATTTTGCAAGAAATGGAAAGAGAACAAGCTAAAAAAAAAAAAGCAATTGTTTGTAAAATTAGGCGCTATAATCAAGGAAGTTACGATCTGATACGTGCAAGTATCAAAACCTAAAAATGTGATTTTACGTACAATCAGGGGCTATAATCCAGGAAGTTGTGGTCTGATATGCGCGAATATCGAAAGGAGCAGAGATTTTGGGATATAAACATATTTCTAAGTTTCATCAAAATCAGATAAAAATTGTGACCTCTTAAGGGTCCACATCCTTGGTATTTTACACTATTTGCGCACAGTAAGCGGCCATTTTGTCTGTCAGTTTCGGTCCGATTTTCACAAAATTCGAACTCAACCATCATTAGGGTGTAATGGTGATATATTCAAATGTTTTTTTTTTAAATCCGATAAAAGTTGTGACCTCTTCGAACAATTAAAGGCTAATGTGTGCGAATAGCAAAAGGAACCAAGATCTTAGGGTTATAAACATTTCAAGTTTTATCAAAATCGGATAAAAATTGTGACCTGTAGAGTGTCCACAAACAAATTGTGGATGGATGTCTGGATGGGGACAGGGCCGACGACAATATACGTCCACATAAAAATGTGAACGTATAAAAACAATAAACACTTAACACTATGAAAGTAAAATTGTGTCAACTTGATTTGAATGACAGAAGTTTACAATAAATACTGGTAAGTGTAATGTATATCCAGAGATCATAATGTGAGGGACTAAACAGATACTCACATAGAATTTACACACACGATCATACATGTTTCTAACAGATTGCTTCATCTACATTAATATTATATATACTAGATTTAACAATTCATCAGTAAAACTTTTCAATAATTTTGAAATTAACATGTAAATAGACAACTCAGCCCAGCTGACCAACAAAATAAATACAGCAGACATTCAAAAATATTAAATATAAATAATGGTGAAAGCCATTACAATGTTATGTCTACTATCAGGTATCATGAAACTACAATCATGGTAAATCTTTGACAATATACAACATTAAAATACATTAATTCATTCAGTCCTATAAAAAGCTATCAAATTTTTTTTCTAAAAGGTCCCTCTTTTTTTGCTGTCTAAAACAGGTTTTAATACATAACAAACGCAAGATTCAGTAACAGAACATACAATAATGACTAGAGATTAATCACATATAATATCAAATTTTCATTTAAAAACAATATTTTAAACAAGCCAACAGTGAGACTGATGACCCTACCTCAATCAAACAAAACATAGATGACACATATTAATTAATTGCACATCTATGTTTTTGTAAAGCATCCAGCAATCAAGCTTAATCTAAACACAAAACACTCATGATTGAACTGAGACAACCTTTCATGTAGTAAAACTATACACTAAGTTTTACCACTCTCATTCAATTCAAATCAAAGTTATCATGTCCCAAACATTGATTAATCATACTGCTTATTTGTAAGGAGGGAAAATGCTATATCATCGAACTCAGTCAAGACATTAACCTAATTGAACCCATCTAGGCATTCACCTAATAAAGACTTAACACCATGTTTGAACATCTAGTTCAATTAGAAGCAGAGTTATTTGTTTAAAAATGTGTGATGGAAAGATGATGGACAAACGAATTAACTCATTTAATAGTCCCGTGCTTTCTTTGAAATACAAATATCATAACAAAGGCTTTGATAAATCAACCTGCGGAAATGAATGTAAAGTTATGAATCTTTCTTCACTCGTTCAATACATTCTTCTCTTAATTTCTTTATCTTAGACTCAGGAAAACTACCTGTTTCCTTAAATATACTCTGAAATAAAGAAAATCACATCTTTTGAGGGGAGAAATTTATAAAATATTCTGGAAAAACTTAATAGAGATAGACAGTATTAGAAACTATATTATCAATTATGCATAGAAGATATATGTAATGTTGTATCAACTCTATCTCAATATTGATTCTTTCAATAATTCAGTTTGATGTTACTCTCTCCCAATTCTTCCGTTTAAAAACAGATACTCCAAACTTGGATATTATGAATAAGAATAAAAGGCATGAACAGCTAATGATATTTGTAAGTAAATTTACCTCTAAAAATGTATGACAGTGAAGTGTAGATGGATCTTTAACTAAATCACGGAATAAATCAACAGCTTCAGGGAAAGTACGACAAGCCAATATTTTCTCTCGATTCAATTTTATCAACGTTAGAGCAACCCTCAGCAGAATTTTTGGTCCTTCCAGAAATAAGCAATCCCATATTCTCAAGACAGTCTGAAAAGATATTTGCCTAAACTATAACAAAACTTACACTACAATACTACATGGGAAAGAAAAGTCACCCTTTTCATCTCCACACTGAAAAGAAAAGACACTTTGTCTAATAAAATTCCCTTACATTGTGACAGTGTTTCCACAAGGTTTGAGTTACTGTAATGACTGGTGCAGACAGAATCTGTTAGTTGAGTCACCTTTACTTTAAAATTTGATATCTTCAATCTGTTGTCATGTTTAAGCATTCTAATTTTTCGTTGTTGTTCAAGCTATTATATTACTTCAAAAGAAAATAAAGGCACATCTATCTATGTTTTTGTGTTACAATGCCAAAGGTCAATGAGAGTTCAAACCACTATTTTGTTTTTACACTAAAAGCAATGTAACACAACTGTATGTGCCATATATACGGTCTTTCCACATTTGTAAAAAAGAAAACCAATCCAAACTACCATCTATGAAATTTGTTAATAGAAAATCAATCTAGCTTAAACGGAAATGACCAGTTGGTACAGCAATGTTTATCTATAATAAATTTACCTCAACAGGCATAACATCAGCATATAAACAAATAAACCACTTCATTCCAATTAAACACCACTGTACACCTAATTCTTCTAAATGGGCATGTACATCTGGTAATTTCCACCTAAAAATATTTAAACATCAACTAAATACTCAGAGCAATAACAACATTAATCATTACTTGATTGATATTCTTTATATTTCTGTATAAGTCATGACTCACATTAGTGATACAAACTGCAATTTTGATTAGTCAAAAATTACATTATTTTTTTTTTAAACATTAAAAATTACATTATGCCGATATTTCAATACAAATGGTATTCAACTAACATTAAATCGGTTAAAAAATTTACACAAACTAAAAACAATTGTCACAAATTTTTATATTCTGGTATATTATATATACTGAGCGCCATGGAAAATGCATCACTTAGTTTTTCGTTATCCTGTAAACATATCTTATTTATTTTGCTTCTTATTGTGAACAATATTCAAATGGGAACACATCAATAACAACACATTTGTACACTTATGGATGTTTAATCTGTAATCAACGGTACAAAGTCAGAGGGGTCAAAACCAAAAGTATGACACAGATGTCAGTAGCGCGTGTGTCCTCCATGGGCTCTTACGCTTGCTGTGCAGCGACGTCGCATGGAATTTACCAATGTTTGAAATAAGGCCTGGGGCAAATTGTTCGATTCTTGGACAAGAGCAGCTTCTAAAGCAGCAATGGTGTGCATCTGTGGTCTCCGATACAGACGGCGTCCAATCTCATCCCAGACATGTCCTATCGGTGCCATGTCCGGAGACATGGCTGGCCAGAGACATTGATGTTGTTAGCAGCCAGGTAATCCATACTAAAACGGGCGGTATGTGGACGTGCATTATCCTGTTGGAAGTGCTGAAGTTGTGGGTGCGCTCGAAACATCGGAACAACAATTGGTTGTAAGACATCATCACGGTAGGCTACAGCCTTAACGCGACCCCCTGCAAATGTGTAGGTTGGTCCGGTGATGAAATGTGAAGCCTCCCCACACCATTACACTTCCCCCACCCCATTGATTCGTTTCGAAGACGCAGCAGTCTGCAAGACGTTCCCCAAGACGTCTCCACACACGTTGACGGCCATCAGCGTGATAAAGATGAGAGCGACTCTCATCACTGAAGAGCACACTTTGCCAGTCTTCTCCAAGTCTGGTGTCCTTGAGCCCATATCAAACGCCGCTGACGGTGATGGTCCCTTAGGATAGCTACAACATAAGGTCGTTGTGCACGGAGTCCTACTTCTCTTAGACGACGTCTTACGGTGTTGGCACTTACTGGTCCTTGTCTTCCGACGACTGCTGCACCTGTTTGAGTCGCTGGGCGGAATCTGTCACGCAGATGAGTGACCTGGATGTAGCGGTCTTGAGTCTGGGTTGTAACGCGTTGTGGACCAGGACGTTGACGGTCACGTGTTGATCCAGTAACTCGAACACGTTCCACCAACCTTACAATAGTGGACTGATGACAATTGAAGTGTCTGGCAATAGCACGTGTAGACATGCCAGCCCTGGACATTCCCATGGCTTCATTCCGTTGATTTTCAGTCTCGGCATCTCTAGCTCGATTACGACAGATTGACGTTTCACAGTTCATGTACTGCACATTAAGTTGAAAACATGCTTTTTAAGGGCTGACACACAATGCTGCACGTGAATATTGGGTTTTTCATGTGCATCTCGTGCAATTTTTTTTTGTGCACACGGGCCGATATTTTTTGCGTTTGGGAGCATTGTGGGAAACAATCAATAGTTCATGGTATTGCATAATATTATACATACAATGTACAAAACCACCTAGTAATAAAATATTTGGGAAAAAAAGTGATGCGTTTCCCATGGCGCTCAGTATACTTACTTCACAACTTCTCCTAATAATTCTTGTTCAGCCTTTAGTGCTAGCATATCAGGACCATAAAAATCTGAAGATAAAATAATGTTACTCTCAGCAAACACAATTGGATTTTACTTTATAATCAAGCTAATCCAAAGATTACAAAGTCACGTTCAAAATTTATATGTTTAACCATATCCTTTCAATCTGTTTCACAGAGATCTTCTAATGCGGCGTCAATCATTGGCTCAATAGCACGTGCATTGTTTACATAAGACGTAACTGTTTCAGGCTAAATGGTGAATTTTACTTATTTTAATACCCATTTACACTAAATAGGAAATGATTTTTACCTATAAATAATTCAAACATCTTTATTTATTTTTCTAATAAATGAAAAAAATGTTTTAGAATTTAATTTGACGGAAGAAAAAAGTTAATATTTGGGACTCATTAAGTCGCATCGATGTCATCCTTATCAGTGATTGTAGCGGCCTAGCGAAAATTCACTGCTGATCAGTGTGATACCCTTTATGAATCAAAACAAAACACTTCTCAAGAGAGAAATTTTAAACTTACCGGGCAAAATTTTATTTATAACAGTGTCCATTAACCAGAATACTTTTTCTTCATTTTGTATAGCTAATAACAGTAAACCAGCCAAAAAATTCATTCCCTAAAAATAAAACAAAAAAAACATCATTATTAAGCAAGTTCAAAAGTATAGTTTTAGAGAAAAAAAACATCCCAGAAGCACCAAGTTAAAATGTAGTCAAGTAACATTTGATACAAGATAAACAAGAAATTCAGATACTTAAGTGTCAGGAAAGGAAAGAAAACATATTATGGCATGCAATGCAAGGGAGATAATTTGATTCAGACAGTGACAATTCTTTGAATTCCAACAATCAAGGAATCTCAAATGTGTACCACTACTACTACAAGCTTGTACACAACCTCAAATATATTTATTTTTCATATAGCAAGAATGGCAAACATAATCTTTAATGAACACAGTCACAAAGTAAGTAAAGGCCAAGGTAACATTACTTTTTGTCTGAATGTCGTCAGGATATTAAATCAGTGCTCTAAAACAAGAAATAAATGCCAAAATAAAAAGTCCACTAGTTGCATTACAATATACTTTCTAGTTCCACGCCATGCCATCTGCAATAATCTACCACTGCAAACAATTCCTGTTTTATTGAGAAATAACCCATAAAGTACTATACCTGGCAATAACCCATTCTAGTGTTTTTTCTAGCTATAGCTGTCAATACATGTTTTAATGGTCTTCTCATTGCTTGAGGATCTTGAATATCAGCAAAATATATATTATCTGGGAATGTTCGATGAATATCTGAATGCAAGAAAAAGATTGTTTTATCCCTTTTAGTATATAATAAAAGAAGAATACATATATCGATAATGGAATCGGGGACTACTAACTGAAAGGGACACCACGACTCACGGTTTCTGTCATGCACTTCAGAGTTTTTATTTACTTTTTTTGTACACAAACTTGAGTAAACAGTTGCTCCAACTGGTTAAAGTATGTGTCATGTGTACTTCTAGACTGTAAAGTTTGTCTAAGTAGAGATTTAGTATATTAATAAGTAAGACATATTGCATACATGTACCATACAACTTGGTGCTCACAATTATTATCTCATTTATAACTGTTAAAATCAGTATTAAAGGCCGGTGTCAACTATAAGAAAACCACTGAACCATCAAATAATTATTAAAACATGGGTTTGAAACATCATCGGAAACACAAATGAATAGACATGTACAAAATCTTTATCCTCTCTTGAGGGAGAAGAACGAAATTGCAATATCTACCAAAATATCTAATATTTGTATGATAATTTGTCAGGTGGATCATACAATAACTCATTGATAAGGCCAGTTCTACTAGATTCTAATACAGCACACAATATCTGGGGCTAACAGGAGCAGTCAAATGCCAAATGATTGGGAAACCAAATATGAGATCGATTTCATATCCAGTGCGCTCGATCCCTGAATACATTTTGAGCTGATTTTTTTTTGAAAGATATTAAATATCAAATTTGACACTAATTTAAAGTTACTGGTATTAGCAATGTCGACCAGGAGCTTTAAAACTACCTGGTATCGGACTGTTAGTATGCCTTCCTTCTGGATTGGTAAATATTTTGCACAACATTGATTCATGAAAAGAATGTTACCTAATTTAATAGATTCCTCAACTTTAGGTTCAAGTTTTTCATTGATGTATTTTTCATATAAACCAGTATTTTGTCTCATGGAGACATCAGCATTTGTTACACTCATCCATACCTATAATCATAGAATATAATAATTTAATGTTTATTTATAGCTTAATAAACAAGGTTCACAGTTTATTTCAAACCAACAAAACATTTTTAAAAAAAGAATATGCCAATTTTGAGCATTATCCCACTTTATAAGCCAATTTTTAAGTGTTTCTACACATAAATCTATAGCTTTATCTGTATTTATTTTTTCTTTAAAATGACTGACATTATGGTATGTAAATTGACCAACCAAAAATGATCTAAATGGAGTATGTCTATTTCACCACTGCCATCATTCAAGACCGGCAAAAATGACTGAAGATAGGTTGCCAGGCAACGAAACATAGGCCCACAGCAGCTAAATCGTCCAGGCAGTCAACAAGTGTTGTCGCATATCTTTTACTTTTTTTGGTAATGAAACATTTATAATACACTAAAATCTAATTAAGAGTAACAACTCATGAAGTAATTATCAATATGAAGTCAATCGGATAACTTTAGCCTCTACAGCGTCACAAGATTTGTCAAAGTGATCAAGGGCCATAACTTTGGCAGTAATTATCGGAAAATATTTGAAAATCAATAGGATTCTTTGTCTCATGACCTCAATCACTGTGTATAAATTTAAAGTCAATTGGATATTTACTTTAGCCCCTAGAGCATCCACATGATTTTTTGAAGTGATCAAGGGCTGTAATTATCAGAAATTGCTGAAAATCAATAGGCTTCTTCGTCTTATGACCGTAAACACTGCGTATAGATGCCAAAGCATCAACCAATCAAACTGCTTATCTTTGCTTACCCTAAGCAGAAAATGCTTATCTTCACACTCCATCAAGGCATTGACCTAATAAACATCTACACCAAGTTTGAACATTCTAGCTCAATTAGAAGGAGGGTTATTGTGTTCAAAAGTCTCGGCCAATCAAATTGCTTATCGCTCTGCTTACCCTGAGCAGAAAATTCTCATTATCGAACTTAGTCAAGGTATTGATGTAATGAAACTATACACCAAGTTTCATCTCTCTCACTTAATTAGAACTAAAGTTATCGTGTCCCAAGGAGAGTTATTGTGTCCCAAAAAGTGTGACGGACGGACGGACGGCAGACAGACAGACCCATTTTAATAGTCCCCTGCTTTCTTTGAAAGGCGGGGGGCAATTATCGATAATTGCTGAAATTAAATAGACTTCTTCGTCTTATGACCTTAAACACTGTGTTTAAATTTAAAGTCAATCGGATATTAACTTTGACCTCTAGAGCGTCCACAAGATTTTTTCAAAGTGATCAAGGGCCATAACTCTAGCAGTAATTATAGGAAAATATTTGAAAATCAATAGGATTCTTTGTCTCATGACCTCAAACACTGTGTATAAATTTAAAGTCAATTGGATATTTACTTTAGCCTCTAGAGCATCCACAAGATTTTTTGAAGTGATCAAGGGCCATAACTCTGGAAGTAATTATCGATAATTGCTGAAATTAAATAGACTTCTTCGTCTTATGACCTTAAACACTGTGTATAAATTTAAAGTCAATCAGATATTAACTTTGACCTCTAGAGCATCCACAAGATTTTTTGAAGTGATCAAGGGCCACAACTTTGGCAGTAATTAACGGAAATCGCTGAAAATCAATAGGTTTCTTCGTCTCATGACCTTAAACACTGTGTATAAATTTAAAGTCAAAAGGATATTAACTCTAGAGCGTCCACAAGCAATTGTGGACACTGGACGTACGAGGACGAAAACAATATACGACCACATTTCAATGTGGGCGTATAAAAAATGAATCCCCATGTTTCAAATGGATATCTTCAGTTTGTCTTAGCTGATTGTTTTAAAACTGAATAACTTTTGCATTCCGTGTACATTTCTTTGATACGTCCTTGTGAATTCTTTATTTTGTTTTATTTTTCCATAATTTTACAAATAATTCGTAAGCGTCTTTTAAACATCATAAACTACCACATCATTTTTTTTATCATGACTACTATTTCCGTGTTAAGTTACATCAAATCAGTTATAGACAGACTTGGAATATAAATTGGCCTAAAACAGCTTTACATCAAGTTCCAAATTGTTATACATGAAATCAATATTATGGTAAAGAGAAATATATCATTTCATACATGTAATAGAAACATTGGTTTGAATATTGAAATAACCATAAGACCATCTGTTACAGAAAGAAAATTAATATAGAGTTATTTGATATAAATTGAATTTACAAACTCATGTAGTTGCATTTGATTCCTATGTAAACTCTATTAACACATCGTCTAGAGAAAAATATTTAAAAATCTGATTTTCTTTCAAGCAGCTGTCAATAAATATAGTATTAAATTGGCTGTAATGAAAAATTATTTCTTGAGGTATTTTTTACATTCATATTGAGCTAGTTAGAACCAAATTAATAGACACATGAAAGTTATTATATTCTTAAATAATCAGTTCAATTATTATTTCATCAAAGATGCAGTTCAACAAAATAACACATTTTCAATTAGTTTAGCAGAACATGAAAAATACCAGTAATTTTTACATTATATGTTTTATTATGCCCTCCAAGTGCTCAACGCTTTGCACTTCGTACATTAATAACAGCTGCTTCAGCGCATTCATTTAGCCCAGTTATTAATTGATCAAAATATATGCAATTCTTACCATTGCTCTGTGCTCATTTGGAATACCTTTTCTACAAAATCTTTTCACTGTAAAAATATATACAAGAATGCATGTATACATGTACGTACAACACTTAATGCTAAACATCTATAATAAAAAAAAAAATGCAAGAAGTCAGAAGATTGAGATAGGTCCATTCTTGGATATGGCAGCTGGCTGGCTATAGATTAATGGCATATTTTCTAGTTTGTTCCGGGTTTGTCAACAACAAAGTCTGCCTGCAGACAGGTTAAGTTTCAGTCTAGAATATTGCTGTGTAGATGTGTTTGCCGAATAAAGTTTGCTATATCGTAAAACTGTTGACAGCAACAGAGTTGTCTAATAGTAAGTGCAGGAAGACCGCACTACACGCAAAACAAAAATCTACAAGATAAACCTGCGAACAAGACAGAAAATAGACATTGCACCAAATAAACAAATATAAGATGTTACAATGTACATGTATGCCTTGTTGGTCACATGCTCTTTCTGCGAAATATCTTTCTAATTTGAGTTTAACAAAGCAAATGAAATTCCATAGCACCTACATATCATAAACAGGAAATAACACATACTAAGATAACAGGCATCATGATCTAAAGCAAGTGCGTTAGACCACACAGCAGCCCTACTGTGGCATACATGTAAATTACAAACCTTTCTAGTACATTTAGATCATATGACATTGTGTACTAGTGACTAAGTACATTAAATCAACCAGCATTTTATTGTACCTTTGGAAGATTTTGATACAGATGACTCATCAGTACCAACTATATCCTTCCACCGTGATGCTCTTCTAGCTAATACAGATAAATACTGGGACATAAACTCTTCATAATCTTTATAATCAAAATCATCTGTTCTCTTAAACCCATAACCATCCACATCACTGCAAAATAACATTATTTTTATATAGTGCTCCCACAACTAGGCTATTTGAACTGACTTTATTTCATTCATTTTTGGGTGTCAATTAAATCTAACCTAATTTGATCAGTTTGTTGTTTCAAATATGAAATATTTTTTGGTGTCAATTAAATCTAACCTAATTTGATCAGTTTGTCTCCCATATGAAATATTTTTTGGTGTCAATTAAATCTAACCTAATTTGATCAATTTGTTGTCTACCACATGAAATATTTTTATTAATACTGGTATGCAATCAATGAAATCAATCAATATAATTAAAAAAATAAATAAAACATTCAAACAATGACTTAATTATATGTTTGAATAGTAAAATCTGTTATGACCATCATCTTTAATACAATTTAAAAATATAAAACAAGAAAGGATATTGACCAGACCTCTGAAATGAACTGAATGAGATTTAATTGATTAAATAATAAAATCAGTATTCATTATGACAACTTATTTAGCTACTCCATGTCTTTAAACCAAGTATTTAACCTTCACCTAGATTCTTTATTACTAAGTCACATAAATTTGATAGATCAAAATACATATAAATCTTGTTGTCTCAAGTTACTGGGTACCTTATCAAAAGCTTTTTAGTAAAATCTATGAAAACCTATACAGTCTACTCATATCATTCCTACTGGTATTTGTCAGTGTCATTTTGTTCGCTTTCCTAACATATTTGCACACAACTACGGTATATTAAATTATGTTAATCTCAAACTGAGAGAATTTCATCCTAAATCATTTAGATACACAACCCTGTTTACCTATATTGCACGATTACTGCAGTGATAGCAGTTGTCAACAAAATGTTAACAAGATTTTTTCAAGTTGATCAATGCTGTTCCGACAGTAGCTGAATTACTGAAAATTGCTAAAAGAATAATTAAACTTAAACATGCATTATGCAAAAGCTAAATCTGCCTATTGCACGTCTTTCTTTAGGCCTAAAATGTTATCTAAATTATTAATTAGACATTAACTTATTCAGACAATAATCGACTCTCGATGCCGTCATTAGCCTGCAATATTTAGTGGATTTGAATACATTTATGATAGATAATTTAACGTAAAAATGGATAATCAAGGCCAGCCTAAAATTGAATCGCTAATATCTTGGTTCAGAGTGAAGCAATTTGAAATTTTCATTATCTTTTTTTAACTATAATATTATAGTGAGAATGGACAGCTCTTTATCTAATCTTACCTAATGCCCCGTTAAGCCTAGTCTCCCTATGCCTAGACTATGGCAAGGTCAGAGAGAAAGCTCTCTAAGATTTTTTTTTAGTCTGACTCTCGACCTCAGGGATGGTGCAAGTGAAGTCCTGGGCTTTAAAATGTCATCTTTTTGTTATTATCTGGTACCGTACCGGTAATTATAGAAGAACACTGAGTGACAGTGTCATATTTACCATAACATTCCTCTGGCAGTAGGCTATGTAACAATCATCATGATTATGTCTGTGATAAAACAATTCCATCAAACAACAGGAATTAAATGATATATTCGGATGTTTCAAATAAGTTTTAATGAACTCGGCGATGATTCTAACAACTTTATTATTAATATTATTATACTTTATAATAAATAAGATTGAATGAATTTTCTACCGGACACACCTGATTTTTTAACAGTAACCTTGATATATTTACATTTATTACCTGTGTCCGAATTTCTCTGTCCCACCTGCCATATCTTGCTAATTGTCGACAGCAGTATACACAACACAATAACTTTAATTCAGCCTGAAGTTTTTTTTTGTTTATGCCTTTTTATTACCTAGACAGATATGTGGGAATGCACTTGTTACACTGGCGCCATCTGTGAATGAGTCATGAATGATACAAACCATCAAGGGATATAACTCCAATAAAACTCGGTCAGTAAAACAACAATAAAGCCTGACAATATTTATTTTCAAACCATTTCACTTTAATAGGCAACAAATAACTGTACAATTTACATGTATGAACAATTTAAAAAATGTATGATATTATTCAAGTTTATAACCTCATAAAGGCCTCAACATATTAAAATATTACAGTAACGATTCAATCAAATAATTACCATTTTCTATATACAGTGATCATTAGCATTTGTCATCATTTAAAGCAATTAAACCTACAAATAATTCTAAGGATAACATAAAATGTTGTTAACAGAAGTTCTTATTTGATACAATCTTCCTGGTTTTCAGCATATTTTTCTTGAGTTGGTAAAAACAACCAGATCATCACACTTGGGCAGAAATCTGATTGACTGGAATTTTTGAATTTTTTAACAAATGCATCAAACTAATCTTGTAAATCGAATGTTTGTATGACGAACTAGGTACCTGTATACCCATGACTGACAAGGTGTCTGCGTGTCTGTTAAGGCGTATGTTGAGGTAAGTCAGTGTCAAACTATTTTTTTTCTAAAACTGATTTCTTTCCCATCTAAATGGTCAAAGAAAAGAATTCTAACCATGACCAATCGATCTGATTGACTGAAAGATTTTCTCGCATGAGCATTAGTGAATGATTAAGACAAGATATACAGTATGTATACACCCTTTAGACCATCCCAATGAAATCTGAGAATTATGGTGTGGAAATAAAATTTTCGATTAACATCGGTGATGTGTTTTGTGGATTAATTTAATTACAGATCGTGCAGATAAAAGTAAACATCAAAATTTGTTTTCAAAATAAAAATGATAGATGTGGAATTTAAAGTTTTTGATTTTGATAAATTATTTTATTCAAAATATTACACAAAAGGGACCTACTGAAAAAATCTTCCAAATATATAACTGTTCACTCTGTTTATTAGTTTATTATTTTTCTACAAATAGCAAATGTAAAATAATTTAACTGCATTATCTTGAATTTCTTAAAATCCCTAACACACAGCAGTCATTTGTTGACCAAACTCAAATGGATGCTTATAGTAGAAACCATTGAATTTAACAGCAAAAGAGATGGAATAAGTTAACAATTCACATATTCAATTCTTATTCAAAAAACCATTTTAATAATTACAAATAGATACATTAAAGTCATGACTAGTATTACTGGTAGTAGAAATGTTGAAATTATTATTATTATTTATATATTATTACTGGTACTATAACAACGGTATACTTATTTGTATGAAGTTTATATACAGCATAATATATATTACAGACAAACATTAATAAATAAAATATAAGTATTTCAATGCTGGTACATTTATCATATTAAGCCACTTGAAAATTATTAATATATACTCACTGTATTATTATATACATTGCATTACACGTCTACATTTGCATTAACACATGAATTAATGAAAGCAAGCAGTACCCATTTATTCTGAAACATAAATAAAGTACTGGTACAGATTATCGTCAAAATGTAACACTGTCCCAAACTATCAAGCAATCAATGGTGATCAGTGATTATATTGAAGTCAATCAATATGTCCCCCGATAACATAAAAATGATGATATTATTCGTTAAGAATCTGGTAGGTCTATTTTAAAACATTAATTTCAATATGCATATACATAGCAATCCTTCAGTTAAGACTGCATTAATTTTACAAAACATGGTTGATACAAATCATCAACTCTATTACATGAAAACAGGACAAGTTATACCTCACTTGATGATTTCAAACATTTCCATTTTCAAGACTTGACAAATTAATTATAGAAAAGAGCTTTTGCAGTTAGTAATTTTTATTCTAAATTAACCTTTTTATAATAATGTATTTAAATCTGTTGACAGGTGTAGACAAATTCTTATAAATAGATACTGTATAATAACCTAGAAGAAGAACGGCATCTTTACATAGAACACAACTTCGCTATTACTATGCATTTCAAAACTTATCAAAGACATCCATGTAGCAGCAAGATTCCAGTATAGTAGAATAAGGTGCCTATATTAATAAGAGAAGTGATGAGCATGCCTATCAATAATCATATTGATAAGTCTATAGTAATACATATCTTGAACAAAACTAACATCATATAGACTAAAAATACACTCAATGAAATATACCCACATATGGTTATCATTAGGAATGCATTATATTTTCTCACTTATAGGAAGACAGCCAATTTCAGTTGATATAGAAACTAAAGTAAAACTAAACACGACAAAATTTCTTTAAATTTTAATCAATAATAACGAGTCAAAGCATATATATTAGTAACGTTACCAATTATATAACTTTAAAACTATAACAAAACAAAATAATTTTAAACTAATAGTTGTCACTGAGATTGGGTATCCTTTAATTGCAAAGAAAATAAACACAAATTAGGTCATAAATTATGCTAGTTAATTGAAAGAAAGAATATGTTCTTTAACATATTTGATTTCTTACATATCTGCAAGGGCCTTAACTGCCAATCAGTTAAGAGCTTTTTGCTAAGTGAGAATAAGAATGGAATGCCCACAACATAAACTCTTTTATCATTGTCTAATGTCTGTGTCTTTCAATAAATTAAAAAGAAAATCACTTTCATAAAAAGGCATACTATGTTCTGGGCCGACAATGTAACTTGAGCAAATCTATATAATTACAATCCTGGCAACTGGTTCTAAATTTAGCTGAAATCCATCATTGTCTAACTTTTCCCTTCAAAGTGCCCCTTCCAGGTCCCTTTATTGCTAAGTAAGTTTATTTCAATAAAATGACTACTTGTTTACACCAGACATACTGACATACAGACAGAAGTGGTGACCTATTGGCCGATATGGGCTAATAACACATAGTTTGGAAATAATAAAGATATAGGTTTCCTATAAGTAACAGGTTAAAATTGGATTAAATAAGTTAAACAAAAATAATTTTCTGATGTATACAGTTCATAACATATAAAAACATCTCTAGTAAGAACTTGAATGGCAATAAGTGGTTGAAGACTTTAGTGATATAAAAATGATTTGTGGCTTTATAAAATCTCAAATTCTTCATCGCTATCAGTTGATCCAGCTCCACCATCAGCACCTTGTACACCTTTTAACACTGTAAAATCTGAAATATAAAACATTATTGAAATTTTTTAAAAAGTTTCACTGTTCAGCTGATACTGTTCACTTATGAACCTACATATTCGCCTTTTAGTAATGAAAATTTTTGTCATTGAATTATACAGTCAAATTACTTCACTCTAAACTGAGAAATACTTGTTTTAACCAGCGGCTGCCAGGCAGGATACGCCCACATTTTGCAAGAGATGGATAGAGAACAAGCTAAAGATAAAAGTGATTTTTTGTACAATCAGGGGCAATAATCCAGAAAGTTATGGCCTGAAATGTGCAAATATCAAAAGGGACAGAGATTTTTGGGATATAAAGATATGTTTTTTAGTTTCATCAAAATCGGATAAAAATTGTGACCTCAATTGTAAACAATTTGAATACAAAGCGCGGCCATTTTGTCGGGCAGTTTCATTTCGATTTTCTACAGGACCACAAGCTAAAAATGTGATTTTTTGTTCAATCAAGGGCCATAATTCAAGAAGTTATGTTCCGATATGCGCGAATATCAAGAGAGAGAGAGAGAAATGGGGTTTAACGTCCACTAAACACAAACCAGGTCATTTCGGGACTAATATATGGTTCAATTTTATTTCCATAATTCACTTGCGCGTAGGGGTCTTTAGCAGTGGGAGGAAACCGGAGGACCTGGAGAAAACCCACGAGGTTGGACAGGCGACCCTACTCCTTGTCACATACAACCGGGGAATCGAAACCACACCAGTTGACACAATGACAGACTTACATTTCAAGTTTCATCGAAATCGGATCAAAATTGTGACCCCTAGAGGATCCACAACATTGATTTACCAGATGTTTACACTATTTGCATACGAGGGGCGGCCATTTTGTCGAACACAACAAACATTACGGAGTGAGTAACGGTGATATATTCAAACGTTTTTTTTTAAATCAGGGGCCATAATCCATGAAGGTACAGTCCAATACATGCCAATATTGAAAGGAACCGAGATCTTAGGGTGATACACCTATTTTTCAAGTTTCATTGAAATCGGATAAAAATTGTGACCTGTAGAGTGTTCACAAACAATTGTGGACGGACGGACAGGGGCGACGACAATATACGTCCACATGAAAATATGGGCGTATAAAAACCTTGTAGCCTCGATTGTCATCGCTGTCGTTGTGAAGAAAATAAAAAAAGTCTTGATTATCCATTTTTGCGTTTAATCATCAATGGCTGTTGAAAGGTAGATCAGATTCAAATCCAGTGAAAATCTGACGCATAAAATGACATCGAGAGTTGATTATGGTCTTGTCATGTTAATAAATGTCTAATTAATAGTTTAGATAACATTTCAGGCCTAAAGAAAGACCTGCAATACACAGATTTAGCTCTTGCATAATGTATGCTTAATTAAAGTTATTTGTTCATAAGTCAATGTATTGTTATCAACATTATAGTGTTTATAGCTGATATATTCCAAACAAAGAGGCTAGGCTTTCAACTACAGGAGCTAAGTCATCCAAACAGCCCACAAAGGTTTTTGCATATTTATTTTTTTCATAGGTAATGGGAACATTTACATGTATAAAACACTAAAAACTGACCAAGGGTTACAAAATACAACCTATGAAGTAATTATCACAACACATGTACCAGTAATCAAAAAATAATTAAAGATCAATTGTGGCTTGGTTATCCATATTTTGTCATATCATTGGCTGTCAATTGTAATGGAAAAGCCTCATTAATTAATACATTTCTGTAAGATATTCAGCATCACTGATCAATTGGAGACCAGTAAAAGAATTATATTACGATATTTATACTACTGTACCTGAACTATTACAAGCTAGATGTGTTTCTATATCACTATCACAAGATGGCAGATGAGCTGGTCTTTCTTTATACAGTTCAAACATAGGATTTTTACATGGTCTTATTATAAACTTATGAAACGTTAAACACAAATCATCAAAATCTTCTTCTGTTCCACAATAAAACCCCTGAATATAAAGTAATAATAAAGCATTAATTATTGTGGTCAGGAAATTAATTGAAATCACCCTAGAAAGAAATTTTGAAATAGCAGTTTGAGTATTGTTATTCTGATATGATATCCACCAAACACAAACTAGGATATTTTGAGACTAACATATTGTACACCTTTTATATCAATAATTCGTCTTTTAGCAGTGATAGGAAACCGAAGAAAACTATGCAGTTCAGCAAGCAACCCTACTCCTTGTAATGCACAACCATAGGATCGAAATCAACACACGTGAATCGATGATACACCATATGATCACTTGCCCCTAGATATATGCAACACAACTAAAACAGCTTCTTAAACTGCTAGTCACAAATTTATAGTAGTTATAGGTTATCAAAGATGTTATAAATATAAATACTTACAACAGCTACGGAAGGGTCTAACTGATTTAATCTCATTCTACCAGGAAATGGACAATGATAGGAATCATCTGTAGAACTTTTATCATCTAAGTTTACAAATAGTTGGGTAGTATGTGGATCTAAATATACCAATTCTTCACCTAGTAAAATAAAAAAAATATAGAAATCTTTTTTTAAAAAATCACTTAAATTTAAATACATGTACATTTTTCTTTCTTCTCTTGCATGATCTTTCAGTAAGTGACATCTATGATGATCCACTGTGCTCTCAGAGTAGGGACAAGTGTTCACTGAGACAGTTATATGTATGACCAAGATTTGATTGGTGGCCTTCATTTTGCAGTCTATGTTGATTTAAACATCACTTTGAAGATGGTGGTTCCTATTTGTCTTAGCTACATAAAATCTCACATAATTCTGAGCAGCTAAGTTATGAACAAGGCTTTAGTGGTTTTATGAATAGATCAGTGTATAATGTCTTGACCTGCTTGGAAATGCTGCATTTTCATATACTATTTACAAGTAGAATATGATACAATGATAAAATTACCAGATGTTAGGTAAAATATAAAACAATATAAACACTTAGATTCTTGAAGCAAATAATTATTTGCTTGATAATGATACCTGTATGTGTATTAAAACGTGGCATGTTAATAAAATTCAAAAGTAGTATATCCATATAAGTGTGTTAATTTTACTTAGATTCTTGGTTAACCTTTTCAACATTATTTTTTAGAATATATGGTACATTTGGTCAGTTTGTTAAAATAAAATAATGATTTCCTCATAGCAAATACAGTATTATAATAAATAATATGACTGTAATAAAATAGTTTAAACTTACCAAGATAACCTATGAACCAATGTGCATGATTTGGTTTACCACCAATAATACCTACAGACTGTCTTAATCCTAAACAACTCTACAAAAACATAAAATAATTTAAAATTGTAATTGTAAGAAGTTTAGTAATAAACAAATTCAGCAATTCACAGCAATGTTGGAGCTTTAGGTGAAATGAAATGAAATGGAGTTTAACGTCCTACTGTTCTGCTCCTAACCTGGGCTAATGAAGACGGGCATACGCCATACAGTGTGCTATGAGGGAAATTTTGCCGGACAGCGGCACTACGGCCTACTCTTATATCGAATTCCAACTGCCAAGGGATCTTTTACGTGCACGCCAATGTGTACACAGGACCTCGGTTTTTCGTCCCATCCGAATGACTAGACAGCTTTCCTTGTCAGCCCCACCGTCCTGCATCACTGACAAGGGAGAACCACGCCGGAAAATCTGGATGAACTTTCTCGGCCAATGCAGGGATCGAACACCCGACCTCCAGGCTAGCGAGCTAGCGTCTTACCCACTTTGGAGCTTTAGGTACTCTTTAAATGCTATATAAGGCCAAACATAGAAAAATTCTGGTTCTCAGACAATCTTTCAAAAAATCTGGTTTTTATTCTTATTTTGTGAAAGGATAACTACATGGTAAAATTACTTCTCACAAACATCATGTTTCAAGATTTTATATTTATCTCATCATCTTATTCCTGCTGTTCATAGGAATTCACTTATATAATTAGTAAATGACCTATGAAAATGGTGCGCCTTTCATTTTCAATTCCCAAAACGAGTACATTTCGTCATTTTTTTGCCTTACTATATTTAGAAAGCTACTTAAAGGTCACCGGAAAAGTTTTAATTTTTAAAAAAATAATGCAAGTAATTACATCAACATATCCTTTTCATAAGTATAACACGAATCCGAATGTCAATATTACCTGCAACAGGTAAATTTCAACGTAAACAAACCAACTTGAATCCTATAGTCTATAACTTACCTTTAAACTATCAAAATAAACAGGGTTGATATCTGTGAGACCGAGACGTAGTGGAATAATAAGTAACAATGGCTTCCATCTTTCTGATTTCATAAATCTTTGTCTAGTTTCTGATTGATTAGTTTGACCAGTATTAAATGTACAGTTTGTAAAACCTTCACTATCTGTTTTATGATGAGCACTTCCATTTATATCACTTGAATTTGATTTGTCTGTATCACATAATCTACACAATTTTCCTACAATATAAAAAGCAGAAAGAATGAAGAATACACTAGGATCTCAATAATAAGTCGTTCAAAACTTGTCAAATCAAGTAACACTTAATTCTTTAACAAATTTTAAAACTTAAAGGAAGTAATACATTTTTATACAAAAGATCCAAATTACTTTATTAAGCTATTGAATGTATGAGCTGTTGGATCTTGAAAATTAATCTAAATAAACACCACACTCCATGGGATTTTGCATGATACACAAATGTAACGTTGAAATTACTAGGTTTTAATACACAATTGATTGCCACTCGCCAAGTAGCAGCACCCAGCCGAATAATAGACACCTTTAGGGAATTCCCTATAAATAAAATAGTCTAGTTGTTGTACAGATGATGACAGACTCTTTGGTAGTTAATGAGTGGCTGATTGATGTACATGTTTATTTAAATTGGGTCCTATTAGATTCAGAGAACCGTTGAAATATCTGGAGTCATCTCGGTTATGCTTGTCCACTACTCATAAACTGACGAAAATATACATTTACACACCTTAAAGAAGAGAAAATTATAATGACCAACTTACTGATATCACTCTCTATCACAGTATTATCCATAGCAACATGTACAACAATATTACTCCATTCATCATAAACTGATATTTTCCTATAAACAAAACACTTTATATACATTCACTACAATATTTAATATGTCTGCATTATATTATACTCATAACCCTAGGCAGATATAAAAACAACAAATATTACTGTCAAACAAATGATCTCCTCTCAATCCTGATTAAAAATACTTACTTTAAAACCTGAGCTATAGTATTTGGTCCAAACCACTGACCCACTGCCTTCCCTTCTGAATCACCCATAGAGGCTTAAAAAAATACCAGAGAATTTAAGTGAGAGAATAGTTTCAATTATATTTTTCATAATTAATTTACACCCATCATCACAAACATCACTGATTAAAGATGGGTTCCCGCGTACAAACTGGATGATTTAATGGTATATATGGACCAAAAACATATTCAAACTAATTAATTTGTCATAATTATGCTTCAAATCCTTCTCAAACATTGTAATTGTGAAGGAATGCCCTGCTATTAAAATGCGATCAAACCAGGTCATGTTTACGTCACGTCTATGGAGTCAGAGGAGAATTCATTGCATACATAAGACGATGTTGTCTTTAATCGCTTACTATTTATTACAAATATCGAATCCTAATTAAATTCTCGGATTATCCACTACCCGCGTCTTTTTCCGTCATTTTTATCTCAGAAAGTATTGTACGTCTAACTCTTCATAAAGTTTATCAACTTGTACATCAAGCGCTCAATGTTCGCTTGTGACCTTTGACAACACGCGTGCATAAGTTCCTAATCGTCGGGCTGTTGATTAGGGGAACCCTTTCATTTTTGTCCTGTATACGCTCCATGAGTGTTTTTCGGGGAATCCAGTATTTTTCTAGTAAGATTGGATATCTCTACTTTCCATATATACCAAAATTGCCATACTTTTATTGGAAATAACCACCTGATAAATACTTTTCTGGGAACCCATTTTTAAATAAAAATACATTGTCATCAGATCGGACAGGTCAAAGGTTAACAATAAGAATATGCAATCATTACACATATAATCAGCATATTATTTCAAGTAACCTACATGTACATATACCTACATAATTATTAGTTAAGTTTGATTAATAATTTATTACATTTACCTATTTGATGTATTGAGTAATAACTACTCTTTTTATCTTGAAACATGCTTAATACTTTCCAATATATCTGATCATACACCTGTGGATTCCATCGCCATTCTAAATGAAAAACCAAATATAATTAGTATAATATTCAATAAACATAATAATGGTCTTCAGTACTAATGAGCATTTCCGTATCTTGTATTACAAAATTATGGTACATGTAGAAGACACATTTATCTTTTTTAAGAATTTACCAGTAGAAATTATTTCTCAATATATTCTAAGAAATGCTGCCAAAACAATTATGACCTCATGGGAAATCAATATCTTAAGATATTTACTTACTTCTACCTAGATGTCTGAGCACGAGAGCTTGTGCCAACATCATCTGTCCACATCTTAACATACAGCCCCATCCTGTATCATTCATAGGTCCATTACCACCTTGAAACACAATAAATATAAATTAAAGAAGAAATAAGAAGGTCAATAAACGGGAGACTGTGCCTTCCACTAAATTTTCAAAACATCATAACATGCAGGCCCGTAACTAGGAGGGGGGGGGGGGCTTTCTACTGCAAAAAGTTTGCAGCCCCCACCTGTGAAAGAATTGTCGACCATAAAAACAATAAATATTCATTGTCCATCAATTTAGCACCCCCTGAGAACACTTTCCGCCCCCCCCCCCCCATTGCTGTGAGCTAGTTAAAGTCCTGATAACATGACACAGTTGTACGCAAAAGTTTTAACTTGATATCATAAATAAAATGAATTTCGTATCACATTTTATCAACATAATCATCCTTGGTATCCCCTAGGGGAGTAGAACAAAACAAGACTACTGGAGATACCGAGGATGCAACACAATATCCTTAGTTAGTTGACTTTTATACTAAATAATGCTTGCAGGGCAATGCAAATTTCTGACATGAACTGTTTTTTTCATATACACCAAAAGGAACAGACACATGTACTTGACAACTCAACATATATTACAGATCTGCTATATACACAGAACCACCAATTCTTTCAGTCTCAACTTGAAGTCAGGTTTCACAACTCGTAATTACTGAATTCTATTTACCTATGGCAGCAAAGTTACGTCTATATGTAAACCAGATTCTAGATAGTATATCATGTTTTAATTCATCACGATCTGTAAAAATAATTATGGAGAATAGAGATTACTGGTTTGGTAAGAGTAAGACAAATGTCAGTTTTAGATTAACTTCAAATCATTTCATAATGTGTTTGGTGGACATCGGTTGATAAACTGTCATTCACTTCCATGTTAACAAATTGAGGTTGAATGTGTAATTATGTGTTGTGTCTGGTTGACACTGGCTCTGATGCTTAAGGACTTTTCATAAATTATTGAGCATCTGGTATTTGTTGTAGTAAGTTTTATCGCATTAATGATTTGAACATTTAGATTTATGTGAGTTTATACACCATGCAAGTTGCAAGTATTTCTATTGTAGATGCATGTACTAACCAAAAATAACTAGGCTATTTTATACTTTTTCTCCATAAAAAAAGAAAGTAATTGTGCAAAAGTAATCTTCCATAGATATTCACTTCATAATCATGTCATTCAACTGGTAGGGTTATCTATGTAACTATACAATGTAATGAATGTATATTGCTTCATACACTTTGTTATCTATATGATAATACTTATATAGAGTAACATCTTCAACTTATTACCAAAAGGTCACTGTAAATTTTCTTACCATATAACGTACTGTATTTTTCTCCTAATATATAAAGTGGATCATCTGTTCTAGGAAAATCTTCATAATATAATGGTCCATTTTCATAGGTTAAACTACCTAAAGAAAATATAGAATAAGCTAAATCAAACCATTATTAACCAAAGGATGAGCCATTGTGACTCAGAGAATAAGGGTTGGCTCACTAACCAGTAAAAGTGTCTAGTTGTTAGGATATGACAAACAACTTTAGTCCTGGGTAGTCCTTGGTGTGAACAATATAAAAGAACCCTTGACATCAATAGACAGTAATTGACTGTGAAAATCAATAGGGTTCGTCCACTCCGACCCCAATGCTTCACACCAAACTTGAAACTCAATAGGGTTTATCCTCCAGCTGGCATTCAATAGGGTTTATCCTCTATCTACATGTACCTAATGCTTTACACTGTAATGTGAAAAACATCAATTAAAACATTGGCAATACTAATAAATAATACTATGTTTTCGGAAAAGGGGGCATATTGCAGAAAACCGGTTCACATCAAATTTGAAAATTCTTTTTAAAAAAAAAATTAAAAGATTTCAACTTTACAATGTATAAATATTTATCAATAAGGCTAACTATATTAATGGCAAAGGTTATTGATATAAATATTCAACACTTTTCCTACCTCCAAAGACAAAATGAAACCATCGAGAAATTTTAAACCGTATTCCCATTGCTAAGATAGAACAACATATTGGCACAAAAAATATGCCATTCTCTAATTTATTTTAGATGAGTTGAATAATAATATTAAAACACACAACTCAGGAATGTCCAGTCAAAATGTCCTCACACCACTTTTACTAAGTATATTAGTTGATTAGATTACATGTAGGACTATTTATAGTGTAGTCTAATGTTACTATTAAAAAGCTGTGCTATTATCACCACTACAAGTAATAATATTTATCAAATGTTAAGTTTATGAATCTAGTTTGAAAAGATTACCAGATTTCTCTTGATCTAAATGCAATAAAATTGTTCAAGATCATTAAACCTATTGGCATATCAATCAGCAGATGTTGTAGTGAGCATAATACATTTCATTTGTAATTCATTGCACAAGTCTCATTGTCATTTAGTCTTTAGACTAAAGTTTAAATAGACTTTGTACAAGCAATCATGCATGTAACAGTAGGTGTGTTTGAACCTAGGAAATAATTCTTTATGAAAGTAAAATTATAGGATAATGACTGTTTCTCTATGTAAGCTTACGTAATAACATTAGCAACATTATCTATGATTAATTATCAGGCAAGTTTCACATTTAAAATTCTTCCTTTTGTTGTAAGTATCCGTCTTCAACTACAATGCATATTGTATCAAACATAGTCCATTTCAAATCTGATTTTCTTGATTCAGCCTATATTGTACTTACATTCCATATTTGAGATTTGGAGTCTCCAAAGACTTAAGAAACTGTGACTTTTAGTTTTGCTGAATCTCTTCACCAAAGACCCACATTACATGTACATTACTATTAACACAATTTGGATACTTTATATTTCCAAAACAGTTGAATGTATGTGTCGGGTTCAATACAAGTACACATGTTCATTAGGGCACCTTGACACCTACATGTACATGTAAAACATGTAAATACATTTCAAAATTTGAGTTCTGTAAATTAATGTGTTTTAGTTGGAATACTTATAGATGATGTTTAAACTGTGAGATTATAAAATTATAGGATAATGACTGTTTCTCTATGTAAGCTTACGTAATAACATTAGCAACATTATCTATGATTAATTATCAGGCAAGTTTCACATTTAAAATTCTTCCTTTTGTTGTAAGTATCCGTCTTCAACTACAATGCATATTGTATCAAACATAGTCCATTTCAAATCTGATTTTCTTGATTCAGCCTATATTGTACTTACATTCCATATTTGAGATTTGGAGTCTCCAAAGACTTAAGAAACTGTGACTTTTAGTTTTGCTGAATCTCTTCACCAAAGACCCACATTACATGTACATTACTATTAACACAGTTTGGATACTTTATATTTCCAAAACAGTTGAATGTATGTGTCGGGTTCAATACAAGTACACATGTCCATTAGGGCACCTTGACACCTACATGTACATGTAAAACATGTAAATACATTTCAAAATTTGAGTTCTGTAAATTAATGTGTTTTAGTTGGAATACTTATAGATGATGTTTAAACTGTGAGATTATAAAAGGGCACTGTTTTATAACTGAGGCTGCAGATCAGATGTGAGCCTAAGTAAGTCGGTTCCCACGCTCATACTAATACCTTCTAACATGTAACAGATAAGACTACCGGTAACTCTACCCCTTGTTCGGTAGCACTTTTTGTCTTGAGTTCAAATAGAAGTAAATGTATGTATCCATCACTGTGTCAAAGGGAGAAGCTCTGCTGGAAATATGTGTGATCATGCCAATTGATCAAAAGTGATAAACAAACAATATCTTCCAGCAATCAGACATACATGTAGGTACGGTACTTAGAGATTTAATTAAAGTTTAAAGGATCAAAGTTACATGTATATCCCCTATGTGAGTCTAGAGGATACATGCATGTGGATTGAATGAGCAAAATTGATTCATTTTTTTGCGTTTGATTCAAATCTTGAGGGGGGGGGGGTTAACAAGAACTTGAAGAAGAAACGTTGATGGAATTGCAATCGAGGGACACAGAATTGAGTCCAATTCAGTGTAACAGTTTTGCCAGTCGGAAAACAGACGTGAGCAGAAACTGAATCATGATGGTTGAGATAATATCATATTTATTATAGGCTATAATTATAACGTATTTTGGGCATTAATTGAGACGAGAGTTTAATCAGCAGACTGCAGCCATTGCTGAATGTCTGATGTCAGTGAATGAGTGATGGATGGAGACAGATAAATTACCCTTCTGTTTGATGGCAAGAGATGTTTTATATTTTAATATTAAATGTAATGACGACAGGTTCATTTGTTTGTTATTGTGTTTGTCAGTAATAGGCAAGGTTGTTCGTCCTCTGATGAACTACCTACATGTACGTAATACCGTCTGACTCGTCTGCTTGTGATGTGTACGTGTTTGTTTTGTTTCTTCTTTTCTTTTTTGTCATCATTATCCAAACTTCATTGGCCTTATGACACATTTATGTTTACATTTCCTTGGTATTCGCAATTCATTTGTTTATCGAATTATTATATACAAACCAAATTTTAAGTTTTCAATATATAATCATTCAAAATCAATGTATCGTATGAAAATGAATAGGAAATATTTACAATTATTACCTTCGTACTCCATTGCCAGCTAAATCATAACATAGTTTGCGCATGCGCCGACTCCGAAAGGAATACTAAAAGACTTTTCAATTGGTCAAGAAATAGGTCAGATAAAAAATCTGACTAATAAACGCCATCGAAATAAACCATAACACTGCGTGATGTAGAAACGCATGCGACCGTCTGATGAAAGTAGAGCAACTGCCCATTCGACCATTGTGATTGTGATTAATGACATTGAAATTGTTAGCACATTTAGATTTAAATTATAATACTCAGGAGAACGGGGTCGATGAACCTAGGTTAGCAAGGCATGCGTTGTGACCAGAGTGTGAATTATAAATAAGTAGGCTAGACTGGCTAGTTCTTGCTAACAAAACATAGGCCATAATATATAGGCCTACTACTTTAGCCTTAAAGGGATAATAACACTCTTGTTGGCTTGAAAGCTCCAGAAAATAAATAATATCTCTATCTAAGTACTAGATGTTTAAGTGTCCTACCTGTTGTGTAAATTATCTATTACATCCTATTTTACTTGTCCAGAGGGTTCGAAAATATTTTTAAATCGAAGTTTCATTTGAAAAGGTTTACGTTAGACGTTTCAAACCATTATGTTGAATTTTTCAAAATATCTAAATAAGGTGTGTTAAGATGAAATTTGTATCATCAATTAATTGAAATATTCTAAAATAGTACAATTTGTTTACCTGAATAAAGATTGGAACATATTATTCAGTTACAACAAGAGTGGTATTGAGCCTTTAATATATATATTTTTACCTTAGTGATAGATCAATCTGATTAAAACACAAATCCTATTTCGTTTCGTTTTTTATTGTTCAAAATTTCATTTTACTTGTCTTTACTTCGGAGACGGTCCTGCACATATGACATCATATCTGGATGTGCGTTAGGGTTAGGGTAATCCAGGTTTTATATAGGCTTGGTCCAGGCGTTAGGGTTAGCGCTAGCCCAGTTTACTTCTGGAGACTATGACAAAATCTGCAGGTCCTAACCCTAACCCATTATCCACACATGACCATCTCCAATCTAGCATTTTTTTTTACTTCAGAGACGGTCCTGCACATTTTAGCACATATGACGTCATGTGGATTGTGCGTTAGGATTAGGGTAAGGGTTGGGCTTGGTCCAGGGTTAGGGTTAGCGCTAGCCCTGTTTACATCTCGAGACTTTGATGAAATCTGGAGGTCCCAACCCTTACCCTAATCCTAACCCACAATCCACATGTGATGTCATATATGCTAAAATGTGCAGGACCGTCGCCGATCTAGCGTTCTCCCTTCACTTCATGTAGGCAGGCCATCGAAAGTATAAAAAAACGAAACGAAATATAGAATTGTATTTTAATCAGATAGGTGATAGATCAACTCAACGGAGATTGTAATTTGTATAGCCTAATCCAACCAGACCAGGTGATTCTTATTTTTCTAGCCAAACTTGTCAGGTCCAAACACATTAATAGATTATGCATCATGATGGAGGTAATATTGATTGTTTTGATGTAGGGTCTACAGATATGTGCCATCATGTGGATATATGGAGGGCAATGAATTATAATTGTTGTCTTGATATCGGAAACCATTAAAGATACATGTACATACTACTATAATGCCATGGCATAGTCCTACATGTACAGAAACTCTGTAATATCTTTTATCTAGGTTTGTGACAATTTGAAATGCAATGGAATGTCTTTATCTCATATGAACATTAATCTTTGTAGCACTACAGGTACTAAATAGCCGAGGTGAAACTTATGTCACCAGTCACATCATATTGTACCGCAGGCACTAGGGCTGGGGTAATGGTAATGGTAATGAAATGTAATCATTACATTTTTTTAATTAATGGCCATGTAATGACTAATGAGTAATGGGAGATTTCAAAAGTAATAAGTAATGTGGAGATGTAATTAATTACATTCCAAAAATCATGTAATGGTCAATTACATTATCAATTACATTATCAATTACTTTTCAATTACATTTTAGGCCACATATAAATATTTCCAAAATGACAAGCCTCAAATTTTATAGCACCAAAGAAGTAAATTAAGTTTATTTGACACAAATCCAATTTATTATAATTTTAAAAAAAGATGTAAATCAGTTTTAACAAATTATAACAAGAATAAGAAGGCATTAGACATTTTCTTTTACTACTATTTATGTAGGACCCTTTTTTAGACATACTTAACCTAAAAAGTGGATTTCTGAAATGATGTATATTGTAATCAAAGATTATTGCTAATTTGCATTCAATCACTCCATCAATCAATCAATCAGTTAGATTAAAAGACAATAGTCTTACTACACTTTAATCATAATCTCAAGTGAAGTGACAAACCAATCAAAGACCTTCAAGTATCTCATTATTTTATGGTTACTTAAAGATACATTATGTATTGCTTAATGGTCGAGAGCGAGACATTAAGTAATATATATTTTTTTACAATATACAATAAATATTTACAATGTAATATGTTTTTACAATATATTACGCAATGTCTTAAGCTCGAGACCATTAAACAACTTAAAATACAGACACTTGCACATGCTTTGCAATGAAATACGTCACTCGAGTTCAATATTTTACGAAGTTACGCTTGGCACATTGCCCGTACGATTATTTGAAATAATGGTACTCCAACATCAAAGGATGACGTCACATCTGTATTTTAAGTAAGATTAAGATAAAGAACTAGCCATTCTTGCTATAATAGTTCGAAAGTAGATAATGTAAAATGAATAATTTGAAAATTTCACTCAAATTACTCTATTGCAAGCGAAGATATTAGCCTTTGAAGGTTTGACAGACGTGTGCAATAATTTCAACCACCGTACTGGTTGATCGAAGCTAAGTCTCGGTCCTCCATATTAAATCAAAGTATCGCTGAACCATTCTAATCTATTTAATATCGGAGAAATATGATGACATCGAGAGTTGATTAAGGCCTGGATCAGTTAATTAATGTCTAATTAATACTTTAGAAATTATTTCAGGCCTAAAGAAAGACCTGCAATAGGCAGATTTAGCTCTTGCATAATGCATGTTTAATATAAAACAAATATGTATTTTGTTTTAGAGTCATGTTGAATAATTTACTGGTTATACAATATATTATAGGTAAACTACATAGAAAATCAGGGAGGAAGACGTATGTTGGTGCCACACAAATGAGTAGCTTAATTGTACCAACAGAAAGGGGTGGGTGGGAAAGGACATGTCTTGATAGGCAACTAAAATTATGAAAACATCGCTAGAAAAGAAGACCCTAATAGTAATATAGCAATTATAATTTATGTGATCTTTTTTGTAATGTTGCATTTGTACACACAATTATTTTTACAGTTGAAGATTAAAGTCAAGATAGTAATAATTTGTTAAAATTAATTGATAACAGGATGGCTGCAGGTATGTGTGTAAATTTTATTTTAGAACTAATATTTAAAGTAAAATGCAACAACTGCCAACAACCCTAAAACCCCTTATTGAATATCTTATTAAAATGTTTTCCCAAATAATCATATCTTGTTTATTTTAAAATATTAATGCTCAATATTATATTTCCAATGATTTTTTTAAAATTTATTTTAAAGCTCATGATATGTTGAAGCCTCTGCAATGGTTGCTAGGAAAATGGCGTTCGGTAGAGGGAGTTGGAAAGTTTCCTACCATTAAAGATTTTAAATATGCAGAAGATTTAGAATTCTTTCAGTTTGGTCAACCAAACATCCAATACAGGTATAGTTTTTGATATTTGTATGCTTTTCTAATTAATAAATTTTCATTATTCATATCTTGAATAACTCTAGTCTGACTTCTTTTCATTAAAGCTAAACTTAAACATGCATTATGCAAGAGCTAAATCTGATTATTGCAAGTCTTAATTTAGGCTTCAGATGTTATAGAAATTATAAATTAGATCTTTATTTAAACAACAAGACCAAAATCAACTCTGTAGACCCACGGATGGCTCGGCTACAGCTCGGATTTAAATAGGATTTCACTAATTGATTAAATCAAATAAGGGGTAACCTGATGAAAATACGTCAGTTAGATCGAGGCTAAATGATAGAGTGTACTTAGCGAGGCCGCTGTAAAGCGTTTCCGTATGCCATTGAAAACTTTACTTGATAATCGAGATATGTAGGTGGAGTTAACACCTGTCAATCAAACGACCGGCGAAGGTGAAGACACATTTCACTACCATTTCTAGGCAAATATTACAACGATGATAACTATGTTCAGAATAAAGTAATTTGACTGAATTTTTCAATATATTCTTCTTTCATCATCTACTTTTGAACTGTTATAGCAAGAATGGCCAACGCTCTATAAAAATCTCCGCTAATGTATCTTTAACTACATAGAGCAAAGTATTTAGAATAAATATCCTCTAAATTCCTTGAAAACCACCATAGGCTATAAGTGGATTTTCTTTGCAAAAAAATAACATTATCTCATAAGCCTATAACCTGAAGTGAAAATATTGGGATTAACTCTTAGTGAAATTATTGCAAATGTTACTCTATTTTCTGAATTTTCCATCAGTCTTCTGTAATGTTAGTGGCCTAATACTTGGTATTATGGGATTCTGGATCTGGTAGAATTTGGAGAAGCTGGTGGATTTTGTATGTGTCTCCCTTTGAATATATGTAGTTATAAATCAGTGTTGTACTTTTTATACCATGTTATTTTTTGTTATGAAAAGTATTTTATTAACTAATAATGAATTAAAAAAGACTATTTATTTTTTATATATTCCAGTTATTATTCGTATGACAGTACTACAAAAAAACCATTACACAGAGAAATAGGTTTCATAAGAATTAAACCAAATTCCAACAAAGTGGCCTTTGTTTCTGCACACAACATGGGTAATAAGTGTGGTTTAATGGTCGAGTACAAGACATTAAGTAATATATTGATATTGTATGAGTGTGATAGCACAAGTGCTTTATCCAATATACTACGCAATGTCTTGCACGAGACCATTAAACAACTTAAAAAACAGACACTATACATCACATGCCTTTCAATGAAATACGTCACATGGGTCCAATTTTCAACTAGTATAAATAATGTAGCTTGACGCCCGCACCATTATTTGAAATAATGGTACGCCAACATCAAAGGATGACATCACATCAGTATTTTAATTTATGTTAAACTAATATTGGTTTACATGACGGACAGTCCAATTAAAATTATACCATCGTTTAGTAATTTGTTCCTTTTTATTTTTCATTTGCTTGCTTCATCTTGGTCTAAAGTTATATTAAACTTTTAAACCCAATTTCATTTCTGCTGGTCATAATGTAGAGGGTTAGATAACATTATTATATGTTATTCAGCTACCTTACCTTGTGGATTTCCCCTGGGTTTCCACTTACAGTTGAAGCAATTTGTGCATAAGTACTTTTTTTTAGAAAATAACTAAATACAGCATGCTAGTGCCAATATGACCTGGTTGTGCTGAGTAGATGTTGTTAAACCTTGCTATTTATTTACAGGATTAAGTTTAATAGAAGAAGGGGAGGTAACCGGTGAAGAGATAAAGGTAGAATCTCATACTATTGCAAGATTGACTTTTGGTAGTGAACCAGAAACCAAAAAGGTAGGTTTGCTAAAATAGAAACATGGTGGACATTTCTTAAGGCTAAGAATAAGTTAATGGCAAGAGATGGCTATACAGAAACTTTATCTTCGCGTAGCCTGGTCCTACTTTTTTATACGCCCACATTTTCATGTGGACGTATTATGCCGTCCGTCCAGACGTGCACAGTTTGTTTGTGGACATTCTACAGGTAACAATTTTTATCTGATTTTGACAAAACTTGAAATATAGGTCTATCTCCCAAAGAACTTGGTTCCTTTCCGTATTGGCATGTATCGGACCATAACTTCATGGATTATGACCCCTGATTTACAAAAAATCACATTTTTAGCTTGTGGACACTCTAGAGGTCACAATTTTCGTCCGATTTTGATGAAACTTGAAATACATGTTTATATCCCAAAGGTCTTGGTTCCTTTCTATATTCACACATATGAGACTTTACCTTCCTGGATTATGGCCCCTGATTGTACGAAAAATCGTGTTTTTTAGCTTGTAGATTCTCTAGAGGTCACAATTTTTATCCGATTTTAAAAACTATTTAAATATATATCACTATTCCACCATAATGAAGGTTGAATTCCAATTTTGGGAAAATCGAAACTAATCTGCCCAACAAAATGGCCGCTCTTTGTATCCAAATTGTGTTAAAGTATGTAATATGAAGGTTGTGGATTTTTGTGCATTTGGAGGCAGACCACCATTAAATTTCATCATCTCAGTACCCACGAATTGTAGTTCGTCTATTTATAGCAATTCTCTCTCTCTCTCTTTTCTCCCCTTTTGCATGCCCATTTGTGTTGATTTTCTGGTCTAGAATGGACGAAGAGGGTTTGAATTAACATTTTCTGCCAGGTTTTGGTAAATATTCATGATTTTGAGGCGGAAGGATAAGAGGGTTATCAGGTTAGCTACGGCGATATGTACGGCAACTAGTTACATGTTTTTAGTATGCTTCTTCAAGTTTGTGTATCTCAAAATTTTGGTGGTCAACCTCATACAAATTTTAGTGCAAAGACATGACCATTTGTTCCTCTGTCTGTAGTGAAAAGCATTCAGCCCAACGAAAATTTGGGGAAAAGTTGGAGGTGGGCAAAGAGGCCAGAATTAACATTGAAGTCAATGGGGAAATTAATGGTGGTCTGCCTCCTATATGAAAACAACCTGACAGTGGATGAAAGGCCTAAATTTGATGATATGATCTCCAAATTGTCAGAACATGTGATATATGGCATTTTGATAGTAAAAAATGTGAAATGGTAAAATTTCAAAAATATTTGACAAATTTGGGAGGGGAAATTTTGATTTTGGTCAAAATTTTGTGATTTTCAGTGTTTATTTACTTTTCAAAATTAGTGGAAAATATTTTAATGTATGATTTTTACTTTTTCTGCATTATAATTGTTAGACGGGAAGAAAGTATCATAATTTCACTCAATTTTGCCTAAAAATCATGATAAATTGTCTGAAATTCTTCAGATTACCCCCAATATTGCTGTCAAAATTTTAATTATTCATCTGTTGTAAAATGAACCAAAATGTCTTGCATGTCTTTATTTTCATTGTTAAATAACTTGGCAAGGATCCATGTGTTTGTCAGATATTGAAAAAGTATTCATGTGTTTGTCAAAAATTTAAAAATTAAGAAATTTAGTCTAATTATGTTCTGCTTAGGTGTGTTAGAATTTTCAAAACATGAGTGAACTGCATTTTGCTGCTGTTTTCCTCAGGCTTAACACAATTTTAATCTTTCAAAACCTGAAATTGTTGCATTTCCCTTCTCGAGAAAGTAAAATCTATGTGTTTGCAGGGAAATTTCTCTGTCTTCATTTCATTTAGACTGGCTCACCCTCCCCACCCCACCCCTTTTCTTGAAGATGATATTTGGATATTCAATTGAACATTTGTTGACTCCAAATTAGCAGTAATCTGATTTTGTGCTTGAATTGTAACCGAGCATTTTATTTGACACAAACAAATAGTTACATATAAGATTTCAAGGATTTCTAAGACTTTTTGTTTATGGTCAAACATGTAATCATATGACATTTCTTCCAAATGAGTCCACACCCCAAAATGGATATGTTGTAGATGTGTTTTTTGCAGCTTAATGTTTTACATTTTGAATGTAAATCTATTATTTGTGGTGATCTTTGAAAATGTAGCACTTACAGGGCAATAAAATATTAATTAATAGCCTTTTCATACCCCTTTTATGCTTTGAATTATGTCAGAACTCCCTTTTTCCATCTCATTTTGTCAGGACATTGATGTAAAGATTAAAACAACTTGCTTCCACATAATATTTACACTATGTAATTTCAAGGATACCTCTGATTGTTAAAGTATTTTAAAAACTGAAATATTCCCATTTTTTAAAAAAAAATAGTGCTTTGCGACCCTTTTATTAGAGTGGCTGGTTGTCACCTAAATACAGCATTTATTTTACATTTATCAATCCATATTTTAATAAATAATTCATACTTCTTATAACAAACTGTGTTTATATGTATGTATATAAGCCAGGGATAGAAGAACATGGCTTTTAGCCATATTCCATCAACAGTATTACTTATGTGGACACAAGTGGGATTTGTTACCACACCAACATTTTTAGGGGGTGGGCTTACAGGTTTCACTATAGTTCCTTACAGTTACCTTCAATGCAACAAATTTGCAGCTTGTCTTCCTGTATACCGGCCAAGGTTTCTAGAAATAAATGCTTTTCATCTCAGACTTTCCCAGAAATAGGGAAATATTAGCATTTTGAGGCATACAAAGTGTCAAAAATGGACCATTTTGTAGAAAAAGGTAAAAGAAAGTCAATTTTTGAAAAATATTCCAATATTTTGAATATTTATGATGTGACTTGTCTGAAACTCTTTAAATCTTTTCGCAGAACTCACATTTCGACAAAATTAAGAAAGAATCTTCAATTCTAGAACAAAAGGCCCATGGACCTGAGCTGCAATCCGGTATACAAAACACTACATAACTTTAAAGGGTCACCATTTCTGCAGTAATTATTTTTTTCTGATTCTGTATTATAATAATGTTGCAAAAATAAATGTGAAGCTATAAAGAAAAGAATTTTGATGATATATGAACTTATAAAACCATATAGGAGGCAGACCACCATTAAATTTCATCATCTCAGTACCCACGAATTGTAGTTCGTCTATTTATAGCAATTCTCTCTCTCTCTCTTTTCTCCCCTTTTGCATGCCCATTTGTGTTGATTTTCTGGTCTAGAATGGACGAAGAGGGTTTGAATTAACATTTTCTGCCAGGTTTTGGTAAATATTCATGATTTTGAGGCGGAAGGATAAGAGGGTTATCAGGTTAGCTACGGCGATATGTACGGCAACTAGTTACATGTTTTTAGTATGCTTCTTCAAGTTTGTGTATCTCAAAATTTTGGTGGTCAACCTCATACAAATTTTAGTGCAAAGACATGACCATTTGTTCCTCTGTCTGTAGTGAAAAGCATTCAGCCCAACGAAAATTTGGGGAAAAGTTGGAGGTGGGCAAAGAGGCCAGAATTAACATTGAAGTCAATGGGGAAATTAATGGTGGTCTGCCTCCATTTCAGACTACAACTTTCTGGATTATGGCCCTTGATTGTACGAAAAAATGTGTTTTTAGCTTGTTCTCTATCCATCTTTTGCAAAATGTAGGTGTATCTTGCCTGGCAACTGCTGGTTTTTAAAGATGTGTCTACCTTCACCAAAGACTGTGTCTGCTTTGACACACCCTTATAATAAGTAACACATAGAAATTGTTAATTCTGTGCGCATTATTCAGCTGTCAAATTTTATATAGAATTTTTGAGTTTGAATTGACAGGATTCGGAAATCTTTAATTTTGTTATGCAAAATGTATGTTTTTAATGCCTTGCCAACAGTGACATACGAAAATGTTTATTAAAAAAGAATCTGGAATGTTCAGGAAAACTGATAGGATCTATAATTAATCAAATTGGATAAGAACTAGAGCTTGGAACTGCATCATAGTAATCTGTTTGGTTCGCTTGAAAGAAGAGAATGATATTGATGGGAGCCCTCGTTCCTCAAGATTTACACCCATTTTAATAAATAGACCCTCCTTTTCTTGTCAACCAATGACTAGTTCTAGTTGCACAGACTTGGTAGATACAAGATATGTATATCTATTCTTCAAAGTTTTTAAACATGTAGGTATACCATGCCACACAGATTTATTGTTGTTTTGTCATTATAGATCTCAAGAGTAATAAAGAAAGTTGGTGATGAGCTTGAGCAAGTATTATATATGGAAACCAGTAAAACTCCATTAACTGAACATTTAAGAATTAGATATAAAAAAATTGAATGAAATACAGATACATGACCTGTATTATGTGACAAATTTATAGACAGGTTGAACTAATAAATCCAATTAACATGAAAAATCAATCAATTTATTAAAATCCTGTGAATTGACATTCAGGGTTTATAATAGTGTAGACAGTACAACTGTACCATACCATTAATACCTCAGATCTCTGGACAGAGATGTCTAAATCTTATAGACTGGCAGCTCAGTGCGGGGGGGGGGGGGGGGTTCCATCAAATGGGCACAAAACCAGACCCAACTTTTCTAGAGTAAAATTTTGCGTAGAATACGATGCTGAGTGGTAATCAGTCCGCCGTTGGGGCGTTTTCGAGATATTCAGGGTCAAAGGTCAAATGACTTCATTTGCACTGAAAGTGAATGCGCAGTCATTCTTGTATTATGAAAAGAAGCTGAAAATGATCGAAAGTAATCACACTTGCTAAATTCACCTTTAGTCTTAGTGACCCTGGAGGTCAAAAGGTGAAATTTACCGTTTTTGCACAAGGAAGATTTAAAGCAATAAAATGTCAACGTAAAATATAAAATAACTTTAATATATTCACAAGAAGAGAAAGATGTGCCTTTGATACTTTTTTTATTATACAACAATATTGTTAAAACATTATATACATGTTCATTAGATATGAAGGATTGAAATAATTAAAATAATTGTCAAATGAAATGTTAAGGATTCTTTATATAATTTTATTCCAAGACATAAATCATTGGGCCCCAGTAAGTTTATGTGCAACATGAAAGATTTAATCTAAAATTAGACTTTCACTCCATCAGCCCCTGTGCTGTTGAATTAATATGAACTTTTACCCTGTTTATCATTAAAACAGGCAAATACATTATAGGAGAGCCATTTTAAAGAAATAAAAATAATAATACCAGTTTCTATTGTCTATGGTTACTGATGATGAATGAAATAGCTCTGGCTTAAAGGGTCAAAAAATCATACACAATCAAAAGTACTCATACTAAAACGTATGTACATAAAGATACATTATGGGAGATTAGATAAAGAGCTGGTAGTTCTCACTATAATAGTTAAAAACTAGATAATGTAAAGGCAATTTGCTGAAAAGTTAAGTCAAATTGATCCACCCTGAACTGAGATTTTAGCTATTGAATTTTTGGCCTAGCCTGGATCATCATTACTAATGTCTGTACGATAAAAAACATAGTCTCGATTACCCATTTAATGATTAAATTTTGAATGGAAGTCAAACAGGAAATCGGAACCTATTCCAATAAACATCGCAGGCTAGCGATGCCATCGAGAGTTGATTATGGTCTGGATAAGTTAATTAATGTCTAATTAATAATTTAGATAACATTTCATGCCTAAAGTCGAAAGACCCTTGCAATAGGCAGATTTAGCTCTTGCATAATGTATGTTTAAGATATAGCCATCAGTTTTAATTGATTTCATGTTGCCATCTTTAAGCATCTGAGGTAAATAAAGTTATGATGATTTTGCTATGTTTTCTAATTAGATTGGCACATATTTTGGCTTTGGGTATGTTTGTTGGCTTGTTCATCACCCTTTGATTCCTACATGTAAAGAACAATTAAAGCTAAAATAAATATTAGTTATTTTACAAAAAGCACAAAAATAATTATATAATAATAACATATTTACAAATATTTTCTAAAATATATAACTTTTATGTCTTTATTATACATATTTACATAATATAAACAATATATTCCTGTCATATTTTACAATTTATGAAATAAATATAGAGGTGATATATTAGATAATGCTATTAGAACAATGTCCAAATGAAGCTTATTTATCCCACAGTATGGATTTATTTTATTCTACATCATTATCATCGGGGGAAAATCAATAGTATTTTGGTTTAAGAATCATATTCCCATCCGTAAATTCATTATTTACAGATATTTTTGGACCAGGAATTGAGCCCTTGTAATAGATAGGTTGCCAGGCAACAAAACATACGCCCACAGCACCTATGTCCGGGCAGTCAACAAGAGTTGTGGCATATTTTTACTTTTTTCGGAAATGAAACATTTATAATACACTAAAATCTGATTAAGAGTAACAACTCATTAAGTAATTATCAGAAAACCATTAGAATTTGTTTGGTTTTTATAAAGTTCTGCCCCATACTAACGTTTAGTATACCAGACTTTTAACATCATGGATTTAGCTGTTCAAGTTATCAAAATTCATTGAAAATCAATATACTTGTTCGCCTCAAGACCTTAAACTCTGTGTATCAATCTGAAGTCAATGGGACGATAACTTTAGCCTATAGAGCGTCACAAGATTTTTCAAAGTGATCAAGGGCCATAACTTTGGCAGTAATTATCGGGAATCGTTGAAAATCAATAGGCTTCTTTGTTTCATGACCTTAAACACTGTGTATAAATTTAAAGTCAATCGGATATTAACTCTGACCTCTAGAGCGTCCACGAGATTTGTTGAAGTGATCAAGGGCCATAACTCTGGTAGCAATAATCGGAAATCGCTGAAAATCAATGGGATTCTTCGTCTCATGATCTTAAACAATGTGTATAAATTTGAAGTCAATCGGATATTAACGTTAGCCTCTAGAGCGTCCACAAGCAATTGTGGACGCCGGGCAGACGGGGCCGACGACAATAAACGACCACATTTCAATGTGGGCGTATAAAAAGTCTAAGACTCCGGCAATTCAATTACAATCACATGACTCTTGGCATGCCCGGTTCCTGGTCCATTAGTATATGCAGTTACTCATTCTTTTATTATCATATAGAATATTTTGTGAGTGCAAATTGAATAGCTTCATTACAATATCATTTCTGGGATGTGTTATCAATGTATTGTAAACCCAATAACAAGAAATCTAGAATGATGAATTAAATAAACTGAAACATCACTAAACATTCGATTGTTAATTTAATAACGTAAACACCACTGTGAATGTCAGTAATATTAATCCACAATGATATTGTTTAGAAGTTGCAGCTGATGATGGTTTAACGTTAGCATCATATCGTATATTTCTATTGTGGTTCCAGAATTGTTTAGAACTAATCCAATCATTTATGACTTCTTCCATTATATCTAAAGGTACACTACCAATACTCAGTATTTCATGATGGAATTCTTTAATATTAAAATCTCTTCCTGAAATATATGACATAAATAATTACCGCACATCAACCAAACTGTTGGTTACAGCTGCGTGTGTATTGTATGGTTCTCTATGTCAATGCATTACGACCGTCTGGTATCTTGGTAATATTAGTAGTCATTGTCTTACAAATAATGAGACGAAGAATATCTAGCAACCATTCAAAGATATATAGATTATTATATGGAGATAAACAAAAGTTATAGCCTTACATTAGTTTATAAAGGAGCTCTATGATTTGTGACATTAGTGAGCGTCGGGGCCATTCGCAAACTCTATCAAATAACTACGCCTAACAATGGTCGTTAATTGAGGCGGCAATGTGTCAGATGTTAGCGGTATGTCGTAATTACATTATAAAGATGGAATTTTGTCTGTCCAATTTTAGTGACATTCAGCGTTTTCATACTAAAGGCACCATTTCCACTAGCAAGATGACTAGTTTTCAATGTTGAACTATTCTCAAGAAAGCCTGCACCGACTGCCACCGAGAACAAAAGAAGAATTTCCCGGATCGCAAAAACAAACCTACACAAAATTGAAAGACTTTTCTTTTGTATACATACCTAAAATAGTTTCGGCCTTTTTACGAAGACTTTTAATTTTCATTTCTCCTATTTTATAAGCACAGGCTTGACCAGGCCATGTGATGTAACGATCAACTTCTGCTTCTATTTGACTTTTGGGAAAATCACTATAATTACTTAAAAACTCTATAGCTCGCTCTCTCGTCCACCTGGAAAATAAATACATTGTACATTAATTGGAATAACGATAGGTTGCCATGCAACGAAACATACACCCACAGCAGCTAAATCGTCCGGGCAGTCAACAAGAGTTGTCGCATATTTTTACTTTTTTCGGTAATGAAACATTTATAATACACTAAAATCTGATTAAGAGTAACATCTCATTAAGTAATTATTAGAAAATCATTACAATTTGTTTGGTTTTTATAAAGTTCTGCCCCATGCTAACGTTTAGTATACGAAACATTTAATATCATGGATTTAGCTGTTCTAGTTATCAAAATTCATTGAAAATCAATATACTTGTTGTCTCAAGTCCTTAAACTATGTGTATCAATCTGAAGTCAATCGGATGATAACTTTAGCCTCTAGAGCATCCCCAAGATACTTTGAAGTGATTAAGGGCAATAACTCTGGCACTAATTATCGAAAATCGCTGAAAATCAATAGGTATCTTCGTCTCATGACCTTAAACACTGTGTATAAATTTAACGTCAATAGGATATTAACTGTGGCCTCTAGAGCGTCCACAAGATTTTTTGAAGTGATCAAGGGCCATAACTCTGGCAGTAATTATCGGAAATCGCGGAAATCACTAGGCTTTATCGTCTTGTGACCTTAAACACCGTGTAAAAATTTTAAAGTCAATCGGATAATAACTTTAGCCTCTATGTAAATTCGAGAGATGTCACTGTCCGGGTAAACCTCCCGCCTTGCATGGTCGTTATATTAATAACAGCCTTCTTAAGGGCAAACAGTTTTAAAAGTTTGTAATGTGTCTGATTAACCGAATAAAACTTTTCCGCCGAGACTATACCCTTGAGCACATTTGCTTGGTGTACTTATGTCCTCGGGTCTGAATACGCTAACCGCCTGAATGTAAATTATAAGTTTAAAAGAAAACATTACGTGCGCCGTCAAAAGCACTTGGACTTTTGATATTATCAACAGACGACAGCTTTTCAATTGTTTATAAAATGGCGCTGTCGGCTGACGTTAATAAATAAAATGTCGGCATCAATGAAAGAAATGTCAGGACAACTGATGGACATATTTTTTTACTTACCCAAACGCGTGGATTCCGGTGTCTATCACGAGTCTACAGGCTCGAAATATTTCTGAACAATATTTTCCAAACCTGAAATAATACCATTTAATATTTGAAATACTTTGAATTGTACATGTTTGTTACAGCAGAATGATTTCTAAAATAGTGTAGAAGTTTTAATCAATTCACGGAGTTGAAGAACGTATAATGTCTACGATTTTTGAAAACCGCCGTTGTCAATGTAACCTCAGTAAATAATATTTGTCATTAACTTACTTTTCAAATGGATCGTTGTATAATCCCATTTCATCTCCAAGATACTCAGCATACAGAGCCCAACCCTGAAAGTACACAATGGACATACAGAAAATTCGATATAAAGAATGCACCTCTAGTCGTTCGGGTGATACAAAAACCCGAGGCCAAGTGTACAGGTTACTGTGTTGGTAGAAGTACCATTGACAGATGGAATTCGACAAAGAGTAGGTGGTTACGCCCCTGTCTGGCGTATGCCCGTCATCATAACCATGATGTTGAGGAAAAGTAGGACGTTAATCCCCATTTCATTTCATTATCGTGCAGCAACTGATGCCAACTTTGTCAAAACCAATAAAATTCGCCGGGAACATTGTTTTTAGTGCAGTTGTAGATGACGTATACTTGTCGTATTATATTAAAATATGTGGTATACATATGTATGATATTGTTTATTATAAGAAAGATTAGGTCATAGACTTTAATCTGCTTGTGTATGTTATTACACGTGGTTTAACAGGAAATAAACAATGTTATATACACGTGTTTACACCATATTGAACAATCCATCAACATGATCAACATATTTCTAACAGTTTTCTTAAATGCTGTTCAACCCCAAGCAAATACATATCATTCTTATTTTAAGGAAATGTTTTGGAATCAGGGATTCAAATTTTAAGTCTGTTGTGTTCAGCATTTTAAATATAAAACCAAAACAAATTTAGTATTTATTATATCGGATACCCCGCATCTAAATATACTCTTCAAAAAAAGTAGGGGATATTCAGAAACAATACAAAACTGCGGAAATGCACTGCTGTTTTTATTAGAGGTAACCAGTGTATGTTAATAACAGGCCAATTGCCTACACATGAACATAAACAGTTTATATGGGCGGTTTATCTGACGGCCCCATTTCACTCGCAAAGAGATACACCGTCAAAAGTGAAAATGGACGTTTTTGATTTTTGTCTTAATAATGAGTAATTGCTCCACCAATCTTCAGACATTCAGCAGTTCGTCGTGGCATGCTCCTAATCAACCGTCCAATCACGATTTGGGGCAATCTGACCCACCCCTCTTGGAGTGCCACGGCCAATTCTTGAGTGTTGTCGGTTGACGTTGACGTCGACAAACAGGTCTCCCGATCAAATTAAACGTAACACAAGTAAGCAAAGATAGGCTAAACAGTAAATCTTATGCAAGAACCGATAGGAAAGCAAACATGGATAGATAAACCAACACGCGGCAGTTTTCATCAACCCTTCCTTGAAGTGTCAAATTTGACAATGAACCCCTCCCACGTGTATGACGCTATTGCCTGTCGCATGTGCAGCTCAGTGGTTCTGTTGGGACGATAAGTTCTTCATCTGTGAACATACTCTCAAAGCATGTCAAATGTCCATGGCTATTTATCATATCGCAATCTGCATATGTATTTGCATTTCAATAACCCCTAGGTTTTTTGGAAGAGTATACATTGATTAACCGTACAATACCACTATAGATTCGGTCAGTTATATATCAATGAAGTCAAAAGACCGCGCGTATAACAGAAGGTACAGCTAACTGGCTGATGATTGTATCGTTATTAAAACAAAACAAAAAATGTCAATGTTACATTATACTGCAGTGTTTAATGGTTGTATTGATGCAATGTTCAAAACAAAATAGATGTTTGTTTAATGAAATAATATATTTGTGAGAAACTGGTGCTCTTTGATATACCCTGTTTGAATGTAAACATCAAATGTATCAATCACACACCTATAGACTTTCAAATTATATTATAATAAATTCCATATTTTGATGCATATAAAGTTGCAGGTCTGCAAGAATGATGCTTACATGTATATACTGGTTTCTAACCATAAAAAGCAATCTGTCGTATTTTCCTAATTACCCTATACATGTAATAGCTTTTAAAGGACCATATTGGTGTCAGTCATTATCGCATAATGTGATAGAACTGGTTAAACTGGTTAAAAATAGAAAAGTCCGTGCATTACCATGTTTTTACTAATATATAAGTATAGAATGAATAAAAGCAAGGGAATTTACGGATTATTTCCATTGTTCTCGTTTTCCCTTATCCAGTGGCATTCAAATACGTTTTTAAATTATCAGATATCCTCTCATATAGCCTCACATGACAGCTTTTGGTCTTCGAAGGAATTATCAGTGAGCAGAAATTAGCCCGTGTATCTGTTATCAGTTATATAGAAGGATAACACGTGTTTTCCTTTTGCGTTCGTCACTTCCCTTTCTTGAAATCTTCAACGGAGCTATCGTAGAAATGATCTCTGTGTTAAAATTATATTTGGAACGTGTTTAATCAGTTCTAACACAAGTGATAATGATTGACACCAATATTGCCCTTTAAGTGTAATAAGAACAACTCAATTTTTATGGGGACATTCTTCAATTAGTACACTCTTGATTCGACAAAGAGGTCAAGAAGAACAATAAGTGAAGATCAGGAATGTGTCGTACACGATCGCTGCGAGTATTTGTAAAGTAAATTACTTACCTCTGTATAGGCACTGTAAACAGGGAAGTGAAATGGTACAGAATATAATTTACTGATCATGCTATGAGTTCTATAAGCTGGTACATCATATAGAGCTGTATAAGCTTCTTGAAAATGATGACCAGGATCGGTCTCGTGTATAGCCAATGGTAACATCATAAACGTTGATCTGAAACAATAAGACTCATTATCAATAATACACCAAGAGGTCAATAATATGTGCGATTTTATGTGTTTATTTGATCAGCCGCATTAAATTTTAAAAAAAATATTAAGTTCATAAATCCTTCAATTTGAGATGTACTATAGCTGAGAGCAAAAGCTTTTCCCTATATGAAACTATGAAAACAGAAAAATAAAGTTCTACCTTATACAATACCTTTACATTAATATCACAATACATAAATCAAATACTGGCAGATGTGGCTGAAAATTTGTTGATATTTAAACAAACCTTTTTCTTGGTTCTTTTAAATTAACATAAAAGACATTTCTACCATAAGAACCCCACGGGCCATCTTTCTCTACCGGAACAATACTGTAATAAAAATAAATAATCTATGTATACTCTTAGACAGATTTCCCTTTACTTCATTTAAGATGAGAAACACTACTGGCTATTAAAAGTTCCAAATTTAAAGTGATCTGGTTTGAAGGGAATGAATTTGTATATTTAAGTACATATAAGGAATATATGATATTGAGTAAATAAAGATGGCTTGGTTCATGTAACTTCATAAATTTATTATTTAATAAAACAAAATTCTACTTACGCAATTTTAGGTAATGAAATATTGTTAAAAAGCCTTGATAATTTAGGTCTGATTTTATGATTTAAAATTTCTTTATACTTGAATAAAAGCTCTTCCTGTAAAACATGGAATTTAAAACTAAAAGTGGGGAAATGGCTTGCTGGATGCAATTCCTTAGCATATTAAAAAATAAGCAACATATGTAATTTTAACATTGCCATAATAAATGAATTTATCGCATGTCCATGACATCCTGATGGCTAAAATGATAGATTGCCAGTCAACGAAACATGCGCCCACAGCAGGTAAGTCGTTCGGCAGTCAATTAGGGTTGTCGCATATTTTTTCTTTTGTCGGTAAAGAAAACATTTGCAACAAACTAAAATCTGATTTTTTTGTTCTAAACAATATTTATTCACATAAACTGAATTGGAGAACAGACAGAAGCCTATAGATCCCCTCTCCGTAAAAGTACAAACATAAATATATATTTAAAAGATGTAAAAATTTTTTTAAAAAAGTAAAGTAGAGAATGATTAAATTATAAGATGGCTAAATCTGATTAAGAGTAACAACCCATTAAGTAACTATCAGAAAGCATTAGAATTTATTTGTTTGGCGGACAGTTCTGTCACATGCTAATGCTTAGTACACGAAACATTTAATATCATGAAGTTAGCTGTTTTAAGTTATCGGATGACCTTAAACACTGTATATAAATTTTAAAGTCAATGGGATGAGAGCACCCACAACAATTTTCGAAGTGATCAAGGACCATAACGCTGACATTATAATTATCGGAAATCAATAGGTTTCTTCGCCGCATGCTCGTGAACACTGTGTATAAATTTGAAGTTAATCGGATATTCACTTTAGCCTCTATCGGAAATCGTTGAAAGTCAATAAGTTTCTTTGTCGTCTCATGACCTTAAACATCGGTTATTAACTTTAGCCACTAGAGTGTCCACAAGCAATTGTGGACGGCGGACAAACGGGCAGGGTTGACGACAATATACGACAGCATTTCAATGTGGGCGTATAAAAATGGAATGAAATGGGGTTTAACGTCCTACGTTTCTGCATGGACTGGGGATGATGGCCAAATGTTTGTGGGTGAATAGCCGACTGTTGGTCCTGCCCTTTTCTACACGAAGATTGACATTCACAACTGGTCATTTATTTTCATCATAATAATATAATCTTTACCTTTGAGTGATTATAGAATTTAGGAATGTATTTAGCATATTGGAAAAAAGACTTTAAATCTTCGCTTGGAAACCCAACTGACTCCATAATCTGAAAATAATAAAACAATAATATATGTTTTTCTAAAAACATACCATATACAATCATCGTGAGATATATGTTATATCAATTAGTATCAAAGTTCCGAAGCACCGACAAACCAAATGGCTTATCTCTGCTTAGGTTAAGCAGTAAAGGCTCACTACTCACTGAATTTACCAAATGGGCATCTACATCAAAGCTACTTCAAATATATGCCGATTTATTGTGTTCCAAAATGAGTGACAGGCAGACGGGCAGACAGGAAAACCCGTCTAATAGTTCACTGCTTTCTCCGAAAAACTGGGGACAATAAAGGTTTATTTATCAAATGTATTTGTTTGTCAAATGTATCTAAGTTTAATATTTTTTGTCATGGTTCATCGATTTAAAATCCTGAACCATGTCAACATTCTAGTAATACTACCTTTGCTAGAATCTTACGTTTTTCATTTCTCTTTCAATCCGATCCACTTCTTTTACTCCCAATTCAAATATTTCTTCAGGCGATATATCATATCCTATATACCATTTTAAACAAGCACGATAATACTTATCACCATTGGGATACGAATGCACACCCGGTGAAGGTCGGGTAGCTGCTGCATAGTCCTACAAATAACAAATAATCATTAATGATCTCAACAATTGCATTTAATTTACCTAAGGGTAACCTTTCACAAAGCGTGCGTAATAGACCATAACGTACGCCAATGTGTACACGGGACCTCGGTTTTTCGTCCCATCTGAACGACTAGACAGCTGTCCTTGTCAGGACCTCCGTACGGCATCACTGACAAGGGGGAACCGCGAAAAAATAATTTAACAAATCGGTCTTCGTGTAGTTTTCTGCAGACACTCAAATTTCGGTATTTACAACACGCTAAATTATCATTATCTTCCAAAATCTTACTGAAATAGGAATGGTAAGAAAAAATTAATTTTAGTTTTTAAAAGACTATATTATTATATCGGTTCACTTCTGTCTAATGTACCCCGCGAAAAAAAGTTATTTTCCGATTGACCCTATTTTTTGTGTCCAAGAATTGCTATAATATGGACGTTGACAGAATGTAACAATTAACAGACAAAATGTTCTAGTACTTTTTTTATTGATCCACTAAAGTGGATTTCAAATATTCTTCAAATAACAACTTAGCTGCTGTTGGGCGTACAATAATGTGGGTATATATTGTCGTCATAACTACTAAAACAAACACGTAGGAAATACCTTTTCACGCATAATTTTATTTTTCGCTGGTAAAAGTGCTATTACCTATCTCATTATTAAAACTAATTGAGTATCATAAAACATATTAAATATTTTAATGAAATGTAACCCACAATTCCCCGATTTTGTTCAATATATTAAAGAAATAAAGATGTATTTGTGAATGATATTTACCAAACTATTATCACTATGTTTTTCCGATTAAACGAGTTATCGTTCTTGAATTTAATGAACAAAATGCCAGTTATTCTCATAGACATACTAATGACGTGTCTATTCTGCATACCCACTGGTATTTGTGTGTGTGTTGTAAAACTCTGATTATTCCCGATTTTGTGAAATAATGTCAAATTTTCAAGGTAATATACACGGAAAGGTATCTTTGCATCATATTGTAGTTGTGAATTATAATTCAAATAAGAAATTGATATATTTATTAAAATATTATCTCTAATTTTCTCCGATAAAACGAGTTATGGTTCCAGTTTTGTGTTAAGTAGCATACATTAGAAGGATCATCATCGATTTTACGTACTTTATATAAACCCACCTAAGTGGATTTCAAATATTCAATAAGTTTTCTTTCGACATAGTTGCCGTGAGACGTACACTGTGGGTATATTGTCGTCATACCACAGTATTCAGAGTAAAGGCGACACATTTTAATGTACACAGATTTTAAGACGGTAAAAGAGATACACCAATTCCTATCAATAGAACTATTTCTTAAAAAAGACTATAAATTAATTTATTTCCTAAAAGTAATCTTTGTTTTGTAGTATATTAGGAGAATGAATATCCATCTTTGAGAGACATTGAAATTAGTATGTATGGACTAAGACTAGTAATTATTTCCCCTTATTTCACGAATGTAGTGCGAGTTATAAATAGACAATTTTTCTCTTAATTTTTTTCTCCCCTCTTCCTGCATTTTTGGGTTGACTTTTTGGTCTAGAATTGGAGAAAAGGGATCAAATTTGCAATTTCATAGCAGTTTTGGGTAATACTGATGATATTACAGCGGAGGGATAGGGGGTGTAAAGTGTCTTTCTGCAGAGCAATCATTGTGTCGGAAGTGAGATTTTCACCCCTGTCAACTTCAAATCTGTGTAGCAAAAAATCTAAATGGTCAACCCCCTACAAAATTATGATGAGGAGATTGCCAAATGTTGTCCCCATTGTGCCTATAAAGATTGGAACCAACGGAATGTTGAGCAAAAAGCTACAACCTGTGATGTTACAGTCATTTAACATTGAAGTCAATGGGCAAATAATTGCTAGTCTGAGTCCGTATAATTTTCTCCCATGAAACGAGTTATCGTTCTTGAATTCCGATTCACCTTAATCTATTTAATATATATAGAGAAAGAGAAAAATGGGGTTTAATGTCCACTCGACACAACGTAGATCATTTCGGGACTAACATGTTCAAATTTATTTCAATAATTCGCTTGTGCGTAGGGGTCTTTAGCAGTGGCAGGACCCGGAGAAAACCCAAAAGAGTATTTCATGACATTGTCTGTGATATCACCCTGGCCCTGGGTAGAAGCAAACGTTAAGCCCGATCTCAAGTCAGAATACTAAACTAACCATTTTATTTAATCTAGATTTACGTGGAATTATAGCCCTGCAAATAATAAGATGAATAATATTCTTTTATCTTTTCGACATAGCTGCTGTTGGGCGTACGATATGTGGGTATATTGTCGTCAAACCAAACACAGTATAAGAAATACCTTTTAAAGTACACACCGTTTTTGGCAAACGAGATAATATCAATAAAACTATTTCTTGAAATAAACAATAAAACAATTACCGTTATTCAAAAGTAATCGTCAATTTCTTGATATTAGTGGATATAAAGAGAATAAACATGCATTATATAAAGATATTTATTAAAATATGAAACGAGTTATCTCAAATTTGGAAAGAGTAATGATAATGTTGGTTGTTCTCCATACCTTTTATAAATGATTTAAAACTATTTTCTGTATCCTTGATGTTTGTTTTTGTTGTAAAATTTAAAATATGCTTGATTTTGTTTATAGAATCTCACATATTCAAGGCAATCTAGACGGACATGTACTTTGAATTTAACCTTATATTGTTGTGATTTGTAAATTCAAATGAGATTGTACAAACATGTTGACGAAATTAGTATTGAAATCAATGGATACATATCAAGTTACATTTCTTGATTATTGATAAAATAGTGTTTTAACAGTGATGACACTCGAGAGATAAATCAATGAGATATTTACAGATTTCTTACATGTCATTAGCCGACTTGTAGGGACAGAAAAATAAAATAGGATGTGAAACCCCACTTTATAAAAGAAAAATCGCTGCATACAACACTAAAGCTCTATAATCTCTCGTTTTTGTTACATGTCAATATATTAGCATATAATATATAGTAAATATGTATTTTTTCATGTTAATATGTGCTTACTTGCCATCTACAGCTTTCTCACGAAATATGGAGTTATCGTTATTGGATATTGAAAGCTTCAAAAGTAATGTCGAAACGATATTTATTTATCTTTGTTTTCTGTGTGAAGACTTAGATGTTATATGTATTTTATTATTTGGCTACAGAAAGACAGACTACAATTTCCGAAGTTAGGTATTTTATAGTTTTAATAATTGACGTAATAAAAAAAAAGAAAAAAAAAAGAACTAGTGTTTATTTATTTATTTATATTAACTTACTTATACTTAATTGTTTGTACCGTAACTAAAATACTGTAATTATGGTTTGTCTATCTATTACTTGAAATTGCACATATTATTATTATACACCCTACTCAGAAGGAAGCAAATTAATATAAGCTTTGCTTGTTTTTATGTCCTCTTCTTTATGCCTTTAAATTGTACAATATTTTCGAAACAAATACAGTTTGATAATAATAAAAAAAAATTGTGATTTTTATTTTTTATAAACCAATAAAAATAACCCGCGACAAAATAGCACTAACTTTACTGATAGATACATCACTAAACTGACAAAGCGTCTTTGTATTAAGCGAGAGAATTCTTTGGAGCCAATGGTCTGGTTACCGTAGATTGTAAACACGTGTTTATTATCATATATCCCTATGCACAATAAACAATACCCTATTCCTGGATAGTTTCAAAGATTTACATTGTGTCAATAGTTTCACATTTCGTTTGATTGAAATAAATTCATACATATGGCTACTTTAAGCTTCGTGAACTATATACTACAAGTATTGCCAGTTTAAAACTTACTACCAAATATGACCCTTTTGTGAGAAAATATCAAAAGGAATTATAAAACAAATGGAAATTCTAACACATGCAAACTGTTTACATTTGTTAGTGAATATGTAGGGTTGTAACCCATACCCTTGTCGGATCAACCTACTCTAATATCACGTGCATACACAAGGAGCAGGAGTCGTTATGAAACTACGTACATGTTTTAAGTTATACTTAAACATATACCTTAGAGAATATCGCACCTTTTAACATATATTTACCGTGTGCAGCTGAAAGTATAGTTCAGTTTGAACTTTAAATACCTTTTTATCTGTGTAGTTTTTGCTACGACACTAACTGTACTTAATGGAGATGGAACAGTGTTCTTTAAATGAAGATTTTTTTCCAATGTAGAATCGTATTCAAGTATTCAAGACACTGATCTAGTCATTTGAGACAAATCTTTGGAATAACGCCGAATTAAAGTGATTTACATGAAATTGGGAAAAGAAGAAAATAGATGCCTAGTTATTTTGCCCAACATTTCTTTCTTAGAAATAGCAATCATATAATACCCTTCTTGAGAGATATTTGTAATGAAGCGACACAAACTAATTAAAGTTAAATCTTTAATTCGTGTTTTTTTTTTTTCGGATTCGATATTTCTTTTGGATACTGTACTTTGACAGATTCGAGCATCAAGTTCGACGTGATCTCTGATCCCACACGATCACACGATATCTGTTTGGAGTCGTGTTGGCTCAGTGAGTAAGACGTAGGCTCGCTAACTTGCAGGTTCCATGTTCGATTCAGGTGTTGGGCAAGAATTAAAGTTTATTCGGGTTTCTCGGCGTGATTTTCCCATATCAGGACAGTGGGCCTGACAAGGGATAACGTATGGCCGTTCGGATTGGGGAGAGAGAGAAATGGGGTTTAATGTCCACTCGTCACAAACTAGGTCATTTTGGGACTAACACATGGTTCAATTTTATTTCTTTAATTCGCTTGCGCGTAGGGGTCTTTAGCAGTGGGAGGAAACTGGAGGGCCCGGAGAAAACCCACGAGGTTGGACAGGCGACCCTACTCCTTGTCACGTACAACCGGGGAATCGAAACCCCGTCAGTTGACTCAATGACAGACCATATGCTACAGCGCGCGCGTGCTAACCATTCGCCCGCCCCCCCCCCCCGTTCGGATGGGACGAAAAGCCGAGGTCCCATGTATACATTTGCGTGAAGGTAAAGAGTAGGCCGTAGCGTTGCTGTCCGGGTACAATTTCAATCATGGCACGCGTATGCCCGTCTTACGAAGCCAAGGGAAAAGTATAGTGACAAAGGGCGGTTTCGCCAAGCAGGGACAGACGTGAAATTTTTGGTAAAATTACTAGCACTGAAAAGATTATGGTGCCCCCATAATGTATGTAATTCGAAATAAATATAAAATATTAAAACTTAAAACTTAAAAAAACCTGTTTTAGCTTTCGATGTGATGCAAAGCTTATACAAGGGGCCCTATGCTGGATATCGTCGTCTATGGCGTGAGCCCTTATTGTGCTCCATACGGTATTGGAAAAAAGCCTCCTTGATATCCTCTTTCCCTCGGTGCTAAATAGTTATACTTCTGTTTTATACTTCATATAAGCTCCGCTAATTAACCAATGACACAATATTGAATTATGCATTCCTTCGGTGCATTTGGTGAAAAGAATTTGTATGGACAGCTGACAGAAAAGACAGGTTTCCCGGCAACGTAACATACACCCACAGCAAGGTAAGTCGTTTAGGCAGTCCATTGAGGTTGTAGCATATTTATTGTTTTGCAGGTAAGGTATGCATTTACAAGACACTAACTGGGTGGCGATTTAAAAAGTGATCATGGGCAATGACCCCGAAATTATCGGCGTCTTCGTCTCATGAACATTAACATTCTGTATAAATTTAAAGATTTTCGGATAATAACTGAAGTCTCTAGAGCGTCTACAAGCAATAGTGGACGACGGACGAACAAACGGATAGAGGTGACAATTATACTACCACATTGGAACGTGGGCGTATAAAACGGGCGTAAAATGTGTAAAGACGACATCCACCCTTTCCCTTGATTCGACCACTGGTAAAGTCGAATGTTGATTGATAAAAACGTTGAAGCTACTGGCTAGAGTCATACTAAACTTAGGCTGTCTGTCTACAGTTATAATAGCTCCGCCTGAGAGCAGACACTAAGCTAGTTGACCGACATTTTAAGTCCTAAATCGACGATTTTAGTCGAAAACACTAAGTATACTTCAAGAATTGTGTTATGTATTTATTCTGCTTCCATTTAATAAAATTGAAAAAGTTTATTTAGTCTTTGTGTCTATGACAGATGTTAAACGAAGTAGACACGCATTACAACACAACATACCAAATTTTGGATATGGGGGTCATTTAGGACAGAGATCTATTCTAGAGAAATGAAGTAGCTGGATCTCTTGTGTGCAGAATGGGCTAGAGTATCTGAACAATTATGAATATTACACTCCTTATAGAACATTGGTAATATAAATCGGCTAGAAACAGCCAATATTACATACTATGGGTGTAACCAATACATTTGTTATCTGCTGGTAATACAAAAAAAAACCCCAAAACACTGAATACATGTACTTCTTGTTTGACGCGTGTTTCTAGAGAATAACGTCAACAATATTACACAAATCATGTGTTGAGAACAACAGACGGTCGGAAGCTGCAATAAGCTTTCAATATTACAAGACCGGAAGACCTTCGTATCATCAAAAACACTGCCTAAAGCTTGAACCCCATTTCCTTTCATGATGTAACAAATAATAAAGAACAAACCCTGTCTCTATTTCATCGGTCACGTTTTTGTAGTATCCTATTCTATATCCAAATTCCTGACAGCTGGTCACATGTTTAAAATATGCAAACACATATATCTTATAGCTTCACAAAATGTTTGTTAGAATCTAGAACATATTGTACAAATAGGTTGCCATGCAGCGAAGTATACGCCCACAGCATCTACGTCGTCCCTGTAGTCCATAAAGTGTCCGCATTATGACTCTTTAGGTCAATAGTTTGCCAGGCAACGAAACATACGCCCTACGGGTTGACAAAGGTTGTCGCATATTTATTATTTTCTGGGTAATTGGTGGCATTTACAAGACAATTTCATAGCGATCAGACTTAATTTATTAATTTATATAATGCAAATAAATTTCATATAGATTGGATGATAACTTCGTTTCACTAATTCAAATGATGGATATAGATATTTATTCTTTTGTAGGTAATTGGGGGCATCTACAAGAAAATTTTATACAGATCAGATTTAATAATTTAAATAATGCATATAAATGTCATATAGATTGGATGATAACTTCGATTGACTAATTCAAATGATGGATATAGATATTTATTCTTTTGTAGGTAACTGGGGGCATTTACAAGACAATTTCATAAAGATCAGATTTGATTTACTAATTCAAATAATGCATATAAATTTCATACAGAGCGGATGATAACTTTTGTCGTTAGAGCGTTCACAAGGTTCAACAAAGTGAAACAAGGGCCATTAATTCAGATGTAATAAACGGAAACGGATGATAATTTTCATCAATCCAGCATTAAGAAGGTTGAACAAAAGGGAAAACAAGGCCATAACTCTAAAAGTAATTATTGTACTTTTCTGGAATTGCATAGGCATCTTCGTTTCACTTATTTCAATAATTCATGTACATTTCACAAAGATCGGATGATGATTTTTGGCGTTAGATCATTCACAAGATTCAACTAAGTGATAAAAGGGCCATAACTCTAGATGTAATAAACGGAAATTGCTGAAATTCAATAGGATTCTTCTTTTTACTAATCGACAGATAACCTTTGATGTTAGAGCTTTCACAAGGTTCAACAAAGTGAAACAAGGGTCATAATTCTAGACGTAATAAACAGAAATTGCTGAAATTCAATAGGATTCTTCGTTTTACAAATTTAAACAATGCATATAAATTTCATTCAGATCGGATGATAACTTTTGTCGTTAAAGCGTTCACTAATTTAAATAATGCACAAGGGCCATAACTGGCTTCTGCATCTCACTGATGTAAAATTCAAAACAATCAGATGATAAATGTAGTCTGTAGTGTGGTCATAAGAAATTGTGAACGATGGACGGACGCGCGGACAGACGGGGCGACGGGAATATACGACCCCATTTTCATGTGGCGTATATAAAAACAACAAATCTTTACGTTGTAAAAGAAGAAGTTTGAGCGGATTTGTGAAGCACTACATGTTTTGTATCGGGATAATACTATGAATATATTTCTTTAAATATATAATCTAAATACGTATAACTGTAATTTTTTTTATTGAATTGGGCTGTAACTTGGCTGTGTAAAACAATGTATTAAATCTCAATTGGATGCCTCAAAGTGTGAAGCTCCCGTCAGACCAAAGCTCGATGTGGTTCAGATCTAAAAAGTTTTGCGATTCATAATTTCTAGCAGGTCGCGTATAATCACGGCACAGATTTGGTGATATTACTTCAACCAGACTCCGGGACCCACAGACTCGGTAACTATGTGATGTCGATACCATCAAACACGGCCCCCAACACCCACTCAACACGACCAACGCAATGCAAGAAGACCTTAACACGACCGAACGCGACCCCGATGTGACGCAACAAGAGAAGGGGATGTTCACTCTTGAATATTCAGACACGATGGAATAACTGATTATGTTGTATGAGTCACTTCGTTTTAAATGCATACGTCGACATAGTGCATGGCGATATTTCGCGAACATGTCGACATATACTACCGCGAAATGGAATATGTCGGCAAAGCTTTAGAATAACCATATCTTAACGCAAACGTGCACATTTAAAACGAAATGGGAACATATAACACAGCGCTTTGACTCAACTGACACGGCAAGATTGTCTTTTCAGAGATAAAATCATCAGAACAATCACAATATGTTGTCATATTTCCAACTTAATATTGCGGTATCTATCGCGCTATTGACTCCTATACACTACCATAATTTTATACTATTCAGCAGAGGGTGTGATGGATCTGGACAGGATCTGTACAGTATCTAGACTGAAGCAAGTTCGTCGTTTTGCGGCCGTGATTAATTCGAGTAGGTCTTATCAAAGTCTTGTTGGATATGGGATGGAGCGAGTTAGTCCTGGACGACCTGGACCGTCACGATCACTCGTCAGGAAGAGGTTGAGTTGATGCCTTTTCAACAAGATCCGCTTCCGATTCACCAAGACCTGACGGCGACCTTCGCGATCCAAGAAGACCATCTCCAGCTTTACAACGCGACTCAAAATATATATGATTACATGTTAAATAAAACAGGAATATTTTTAAAAATCAAAGCATATGTATAATAACAAAATATAATATCTACTCGTAGTAGGAAAATGCAATAGTAGAACGATAGTAAATGTTTTAGAGAAATGACTCCTAAGGGGCTACTATATGTATCGTGCACTAGGATCGGAGTAATTAAATATAAGTCTCAATACCCTGAAAATAAGAAGGCACAGTCTTATCAGAAACAAACTTTGTTTTAAAAGTTGTGCATATGGCATTTATTACTAGAAAGGCAGGTGTTTATAAAATAAATATCTTATATAGCTTACTCTGTAATTAATCACAAGAAATTACCACGAAGAAGTGACCCACCTTTTCCATAAATTTTTGGAACTTTTTTAAACTTTTGTTGATTGGAACCAGAAGTTCCTCAGCTTTTCGTCCTAATTTACTTCTGTAAAGAAATATAATACATTAAATTGTGGGTTTAAATTTAAAGACATGTTTCCATAACGTGTTAATGGGTGCAATCGATAACTTCCAAAGCAAGTTATTCATTTGCCTAACCTGTCGCACTATTATTCTTGCTTTTTCACCTTTCTAGCGTAAAACATCCATGCGCATTGCCAGGACGTAACTTCAGAGCAACGGGGGAGGGGGGGCTGTAAAATTGACGGACAATGTATATCTATGGTGGACAATATTTTTACATGGGACGCTTCGCCCCCCCCCCCCCCCCTTTTAGTTCGGGCCTGCGCATTTCCAAAAAACAATGGGCATTGTCACGCTAACAAGCCAAAGTAGTTTGAACCCGTTAAAGCCACGACCTGCAAGAAAAAAAGTTACATCTATAGCGTGTTCTTTTATTAAAGAAATATGTTGTTTTAGAGGTTATTCAAATCCATCAAATCTAACTTAATTTATAACCATTTTAATTTTATATTGGGGTCTATCGATGTCACCTCGACATTATCATTTCTCTTATACAAATATAGTTTTGATAATTGTGCAGCCAATTCTTTACGCAGTTATTTTTATACTAATTCCACCCTTATACGATTTTTGTCACCGCAATGGCCCGCAATGTGTCGTGGCAACGCGTGACCCGTTTGCACCCTGTTCACGCAATGTACACGCATAAGTTACGCATTGGTAAGCATTGAAACGCAATTACTTTGTTCATGTCTGCTGCTGGTAGTGGATTCCCACCCCGTCGGCGGGGTTCGCGTCGAGTTCGCACAGTATTTACGCATGGTTCACGCAAGTGGCACGCAAGTGGCACGCGCCATTCCGGGAAGGAAAATCGTACGAGTTTCAGGGTGGCTTAAGATGTACTTGTTGTGTCTTTAATATTTAGATGTTGATTAATATAAATAAAGTTAGCAACCCACCGGAGTTCTGGTGACAATTTACTATCTTCTAAAGCTTCTTGAAATGGATAAAGAAACATTTGATAAACTGGCCAGTTCTCTAACATTTTAGGTACACGGTCCTGGAAAAAATAATCAGCATATGTATTCTTTGTAATCTTTGCAGCTTCTTTATATTTGATGATTCATTGTCTTGTATATTAAAACCGTTTCCAAAATTCAGAAATACAAATCATTCCGTCATTAATTATTTATCACATTATTTATGTATAACATACAATATTATCGAAGTAATACAGAAATGCCCTACATTTATAAGTGACTCTGTAAAGGCACCAATTACAATAAGATGCACTTGATATCAATTTAGATTATTTTTTTCTCAGAAACATTGACATATAAATAAGATTTATTATTCTCTAAATAACAATTTCAAAGAAACCATTTTGCAACAAAATAACCATTATCCATTTCAGGTTTGACCACTCAACCAGTCCCTGTGATTAAAACCACAACTGAGTAATCTCTTTTAAAAAAAGACTTTAATCTTACAACAGATACTTTATGGCTGGTTCTTTTCAGTCTTATGGCTTTTTTCATTAAATCCATTTCTTCCTCAATCTGAAGGGGAAAAGAGAAGTCTCAGCTAAACAAATTTAGGTTGGATTGTTTCAGAATGTCTTGGTTTATATATAGACAGATTTGCCCACTTGCCCACATTGCAGTAAAGAATCTGTGATGATATTCAAGGCGACACTCAACATGAAACTAACATTAAAATTGTATGCGTTTTATTTCAATAATTCGTTTGCGCGAAGGTGAACCGGGGGGCCCACGGCGTTAGGTAGGCCACCCTAATCCAGAACTAATTATTGATTTGCGGGTATAACAAGTCATATAATCTATAACTGGTTTTAACTTATAATAGCATCACATTGTTGAAGAACTATAATCTCATCATCATCAAACCTCTGTCTATAAGTTTCTCACAAAAGACGCCATGGGTCCTTACTTCATATTGAGAGGAAAATGTAACTCTTGAGAAAATGAGGGAATAATCAGAACCCCTGAGTATGTTTGCCATTTTCTTTGTCTAATATTATTGTGAGAATCAGTAGGATCGGACAGTAACTAGATCTATAAACATACTAAAGTTGTTGAAAAGGTCAAGGGATATGTCTCTTGAGCTTAAAGTGATGCTTTCGGCAGTGTTTATAAATAATAGGTGCCAAAAAAAACCCTTCATTTTTCATTCCCTTTGAAGCATCGATGGAATCCAATGAAGTTTAAAGTTTCGTCGACACTTGACATGGGCTATTTTGCCTGTAATTTTTATTTCTTCGAGTTGTACAAAAGCGATACTCTTTTCTGCCTACTCTTGCACGAAATATGTCTACCTTCGTTCAACATGCACCATACCCTACAATGTGAATCCAATGTCCTAACCACAAAATCACTGCTGCAATATTGCCGCATGGTTCACTCTTGTCAACAATACATTATACAGTTTAAAAAGAATCGCGTCTGTGTGTTCGCAAGAACTGATACAGGCTACCGAGAAAAGTATAACCACAATCTGCCTCTTGCATGACACGCGCCACAGCTTTGCCCTAATGCTTGGAATTTCGATAAATGTATAATTCTGAGGTTATTTTGAATTCGATATTATACAAAATTTATTACATTAATTTTCTTGTTGAAACCATAAGTTGTAAGCGGTAATGCCGCTTTAAGATATGGAATGAGACTTCTTGAGACAAGAGAAGAATCTCTTATCTGTATTTAAGGGGTTTACCTGTTTTGGAAATGTCGCCAGTCTCTTTAAGTACTTTTGATAATCATCTTTGGTTTTAGGTTTGGCATACATCGTCCAAAATGGTCCATTAGTAATCCCCTCTAGAAAATTGATAGGATTCAAGGCACCATAACTAAAATAATAACGAATACTTATAGTAAAGATTCATATTGATTTTGGCAGAAGCATTGTCAGGCATTAATGGTTGTATACAGTACGCCTATGACCAAATGGCAAAATAGTTGGCAATCCGAACTGTTTTGGGTCAATTGTCTGAATCCTTATTCGAGGCCAGCAAAATAGTTAGCTGGCAATTAAAAACGCAATATAGAACTCTCGACACTCGCATCGATAACACACTTGGTGATATACAGCACAAGCGTTTGACGGCTCGGCCACTTATGCCACATCGAAACCAAAACAGGTAACAACCGTTGACGGTTTTATTCAGAAAACGACACTGTTTCAAATAAACAATATGGACAGAGATTTTAATTTTAAACCAGCACCGGATTCATTCACTTGATTTGGTAGGCCCTATACTCTAATCTCTTACAGTGTCTATGTTTAATCTCAATGGTGTTCCGCGTGTTTCTCTTTTCGAATTGGGATTCGTTTGTTGTGTTGCATGATGCGGTTTTCTTGCACTTTCTTTACTACTGTATTGAATAAATGTTATACCTTATACGTGGCTCTTACCGTCTTCATTAGCCCAGTTCGGAGCAGAACAGTAGGACGTTAAACCCCATTTAATTTCATTTCACGTGGCTCTTAAACATACATTATGCAAGAGCTAAATCTGCCTATTGCAGGCCTTTACATAAACTATTAATTAGATATTTGTTAACATGACAAGACCATAATCAACTCTCGATTCTATCTGATGGGTCCGCTTTTCCACAGATTTGAATCCGATTTGCGGTTCAACAGCCGTTAATGATTAACCGTAAAATGGATAATCGAGACTTTGTTTATTATCGTAACAGCTGTAACAATGACGATCAGGCTAAATTGTTATTAAAATGAGAATTCCCGGATTAGAGTGAAGTAATTTGACTGAAATTTTCAGTATATCCCCTTTACATTATTTATATTTTAACTATTATAGGAGAACTGTCAACTTCTCACCTAATCTTCCATAATGCCCCTTTAAAATAATGTTATCTGTTATTTAGAATGCACTATGCAGTTCGTCAATATTCTCTTCTTTAATAGAGGACATTCAAATTATTTATAAATTGAATATGACACATGGAAACTTGTATCTAACCATATTTTATTATTCAATTATTTATTGATTAAAGAATTTACTATAGTAAATCCACAACATTTGTCGGGTGGTTAATTTCCTCAAAATTACAATACAAACAACTTCGATAGGGTGGAACCAGTTAGATATGTGCTAGTCTGTTCAAAGTAATCCTGGCAATATACGATACACTCTGTCATAATTATCTGTAATTATTGACTGTACAATTACCGTAACCAAAATTATACCATATTGTACACAAACAGACGACAATAATTTCCCGCGTCGACTAAAGAACGTGATCAGTTCTTAAGCAGAAGCAGAGACCATCATTATTCCTTTCTATGCTATCATTAATTCTATTTTTTACCAATAATCCTTCTGGAAGTTCTGCAAGAGATTTAGCGTTTTTGTGGAGCGGTTACAAAGTTTAAATGGGAATTTCATCTGGTGGTTTGGTGATACTATTTGTACGTGTTTTTGTGCCTTTCATTCATGGTGTGTTTGAGTTTCATATAAACATTACTTCAGACATGCATGGTAAAGGGTACGATCAAGTTAACCATTTTCAAAAGACCGATGATCGTTCAACTAGGTTGCCTATGAACTTAAAGGTGGTGCAAATAAACCAGTTTACAAATAAAACAGCTCGCTACCTGTTTTCAAATTTAGTCCTTTTTCTAAGCTGGCTTATCTTGGCCGTCTGAACAGGTCAGCTTTCTGGCAGAACGGATTCAGGTGTATTAACTATAATCTCTGACAATGGTTTCGTTTTTAGTTCGATTGGCTAAAAAAACACCGGCGTTTTTATAGTCCCTGGACGCCATACATTTCGACTGTGTGACGAGGTACTCTTTATCGAACTACAATCTCTTCTAACTGGCAAATTATTTGGCTCACCATAAAACATTTATGCACAGTGTCAACTTTGCATATGTTCATATTTTGAACATGCACCAGAAATTTGATCTGATTGGATTGGTTATTCTGTTATCTTTTCATTAAATGTTTCTGCTATTTTCTTTAAAGTTCATATTAAATTAAGTTTATGACTGAAAAGTTATTTTTCTCGTCTGCTATTAATTAAAAGAATAGATTTAATCGAATCGGAATGTCAGTAATTCCGGAATTTATTTATTTAATTCTTATATAACTCTACACCATATTTACATAGTTTTGGCGTATGCAGGATCGTTACACCTGGTTAGGGTCGGTCGGGGGAACAACATGTTGAAACTCCTTAAATTGATATTTAAGAGGGGCTTGGTGTTAAAGTAGGTAAGTCTCTAACTCAAAATCATCTAAAGTCTTCGACATTGAAAACACAAGTTATTTGTCAATTTAAATCAACATTGATGCTGTGATCTCACCGGTAAAAGATGGGCTTCTGATATCCAATATTTAAGACAAAATAAACATTTTACCATTGGAATCGTGTACCATAATGCGTCAAACGGTGACGCCATATTCTTATCTGGAGAGCATGCACAATAAATACTATCGGTGTGTACTGGAATAACCAGACGCCAGAGATTGCCATTCGATTGAGACTTCTGACGTATTTCGCCGAACATAACTGATTGGATATTAGAGTAAAAACGGAAACGATTGAATGTAAATCAGTTTATATACATTAAACATACATTATGCAAGAGCTAAATCTGTCTATTTCTTTAGGCCTGAAATGTTATCTAAATTATTAATTAGACATTAATTAACCTATCCAGATCATAATCAACTCTAGATGGCATCGCTAGCCTGCGATCTTTAGTGGATTGTGAGCCGATTTACTGCATAGCTTTCCTTCACGATTTAACGATTAAATGCATAATCGATGCTGTTTATCGTACTGACTTTAGTAATGATGATCAAGGCTAGGCGGAAAAATTCAATCGCTTTGTTCTCGGTTCATAGTGGATCAATTTGAAGGAAATTTTCAGCAAATTGCCTTTACATTATCTAGTTTTTAACTATTATAGTGAAAACTGCCAACTCGTTATCGAATCTCCCATAATGTATCTTTAATATTACATTATTATATGCGTTGCGGCCCATTGTGTTAATTTCTAGGTCCCAAATATTAGCGATTTATTTCCTTTAAGAGGAAAACGGAGCAGTCGTCTTTCACAACCTACATGTAAATACGCCATTGTTTCTAAGAGAATTTTTTTAATTTCACACACAAGGCCCTGCAAGTAAACCAAAATGTCTACATGATCAACACTTACTTACGAGAGGAGTAATACTATTGTTAGATACTAATGCGTGGAATTTAATGTGTTTGCCAAGAACTGTATAAATGTATTGTACAATTTTAGGTCCAAATTGTTGATATTAACATTGAGAAAAGTATGCATTTAGTAAAGTTCATAGTGGTTCCTTTTTTTCATACTAATTTCACGTCTAATGATTTTTATTATAACAAGTGAAACTATCCTGGAAACACCTTTCCATCATTATATATATGATATATCTCATTTGGTATTTCATTGTGCCTTTTCATAGTATTTATTTTGAATGGTAAGTGCTCGAGACAAATACCATACAGTTAACAGTTATTTTGTTATGCTATTTTTTAAACCTGTTAGATTATAATCTACATATAGTTTAGCAGTACAACAACACTTTAAACGTTAGGAACTTGGTCGCCACCCGAGAAGTAATTGTTTTATACTACTTACTTGTCAGCTTTAATCGTAGTTTTCGATTTTATTCTTCTTAAATGAGTACACCCATGGCTATATTCTATAACGACAGAATTAACTTTAAAAAAACTCTCCAGGCGCCTCCTTCAAATGTCACACGTCCATACTGTCTCCAGCGAAACCAGAACTAATAATTTCAAATTGGAGATGCTAGAATCACGACTAAGATAATTTCGACACACAAAATGGCCAGGTTTGATCTATTTACTAAAACCATCTTAACAACGCCATATCGAAAGATCTGGTAGTTTTGATGATGTCACTAACCAGTATTTTGAACGAGGCACCTAGAATTCTTCTAAAGTTGATCCAAGTAGCTTTCATCATTGTCATCACTTCTTAAAATTTCTCAATATATTTTTAAATACCTCGTGTTAAGCAAAAGACTATGGCTCACAAGAAACACGGGGTTGACAAGTTGACGAAAATGCGTAAAATGCCGACACTTTTTAAAATTCTACTGGTTAAAATGGTCTCGTGCGTATACCTGTTTCGGGGATGATTTTACCTGACGGCAAGATCGTATAGACTATACTCCAGCTAAGTTGATCGGTTTCTGTCTGTTATGGTTAAAGTAACGATTCACCATTTCGTTAAAATATCAAATTTCTTAGGCTTAATCCACGGTAATATGTAATCATATTTAACATTTAATTCAGAAAACAAAATCAAAATATAAACGCTATATAATCTGACGGCTTGGATTCAATTGGATTTAAAACGGGCCGATCAAGTTTGTTCGCCCAAATCAAAATGGCGGAAATCTTAGATCTTATTACATAGCGAGCAGCATAGATCGATGAAATTTGAATTCAATACTTTTTGTAAAGGGGGTGAAAGCGTGTCATTTACAGGAATAAATCAATTCTGTTTTGGCGCCAGTGATGTCAATTTTGGCTAAAATATTGAGATCAACATGCTAGAAAAATAACAGATTTCTTTATCTTGTAATTCAAAATTTATTATAGCAATTATCCCACGGACCAATACAGGGCAAGATAGCAAGCAACAAAATCAATATTTTTCATAAAACTGGGATTAATATGGATAAACTAGAGATTATAAAGATGTTTTGTTCAGAAAATGTGGAATTCTTATGTCAAAACATCCCAATAATTTATAGATAAGCCGCCGGTAAAAATATAATTACTTAAATTTATTACCTACACGCAGCGTGACGCACGTGCTATAGATAAATTAAGGTAGATACCTTAAGCTTATTAAATAATTATACTATCTATATCTTTATTATTCCACATCAAAACATTCTTCTAGGCAGAATTTGATCCTATCTTATTGTAGGCAGAAGTCTGCTATCGTCGTGTATGAAACTAATTTAGATTGCGACATGCAAGTGCAAATGCAATTGGGATCACCTGTAAATAAGAATTATTGAACTTGTTAACCTTGAAGTAGAATCCAATATTTAAAGGTATAAATTTGGGGTTAATTAAACACAGTTTTCCAAGAAACCAATTTACGGTAACGCATTTAGCGCGGCGAAACATGTGATTTTTGTAATATTATTTCTTAGAGGTACATTTGGTTTTGTCGAATTTAGAAAGATACAATGGCTTTCATAAAACACTTAAATGAAATTGATCTAAACCGCACTTTCCACTTCCCGTGCACCAATCTAAACAACTTACAAAAGCAAATGGCTGACATATAGTACGGTAAATGTACAAATTTTAAGACAAGTTGCAAGCGATCAAGAAAGAGTAAATAAAATAGAAGTGGTTAGATTTTTCTTTTTAAAAAAATGGGTATAATGGTTTAAAACACTCCAGATTGGAATTCAGACACGGAACAGTAACTTATTCTTATAAAACCGACCATTAAGCATAGTTAAGATTCTATCTTGTCTAGAATGAATGTTCTTAAGTTGTTTAAAATCCTTTTACATTACAAGGGGTGTTGCAGAGACATAATTACAGAACTTTAATGATGCCGATTCCCATTAAACAAGGCATCAGTCACGAGTAAAAGACCATACTGAAGTTCCAGACATTTTTGTACAGACGGGTGTAATTTCAAGATGGATTGTGTCTGATCGATCACCTGATAAGCCTTCTCAGGGCTGATCTGGTGTTAAAGAGAGAGGCTAAACTTTTCGTTCGTTTGTAATGAAATTTATATTTTCACTGATTCTGTAACATATAATTTAAGTTGTTAATATTATTAAGAATCTTTTAATGGGATTTAAGTTTATATTTCATTAACTGCAGACATAAAGGCGAATGTTTAAAACCTTGGTTGTCGGACGTTTTGCTGACCACAATAATCGATTGCTGACAACTTTAAACAATGCATAAGATTCGTAAAGCGACTAGCCTGTCTCCCTACGGTCCTGGCGAGGTTGTTAGATCTCTATTGACACGGCTGCGTCTTTTTATTTTAGAATTGAATCTGGGTTGCGATTTTCCCTTTTCCCAGTCATGATTGGCCTTTTTGGAAAGTTTCTTCGGAAATATTGTCCGAGGTATAACTCGCGGTGGAAGGGGAAATTAACCCGCAGCTAGCAGTGGTAGATTATTGGACATTATAATGATTAATTAGTAAGCTGCCAGTCGGTATTACTACTCTAAGATATTAAGCCGCCGGCCGGTATTACTACTTTATGATATTATCAACTTGATTAATCCATTCACAAATAAATACATACATACATACATACATACAATACAATACAATACAATACAATACAATACAATACAATACAATACAATACAATACATGCATGCATGCATGCATACGTACGTACATATTGTTTTGTAGGTAATGGGGCGTAACAATCCATGAAGTAACTGTCATATTAAATTTGATTGGCTTCTTGTCATTCCTAATTATTGTACAAAACCTCTACCTGCATTGGCCCAGAAAGTTCATCGGGATTTAAAGAAGTGGTTTCCCCTTGTCAGTGATGTAGGACGGAGGGTCTGACAAGGACAGCTGTCTAGTCTTTCGGATGGGACGAAAAACAGAGGTCCCGTGTAGATATTGGCATGCACATATAAACGATCCCTTGTTAGTTGGAATTCGATATAAGTGTATGCCATAGTGCCGCTGCCCGGACAAAACTTTCCTCATAGCACACTGTATGGCGTATGACCGTCTTCATTAGCCTAGTCGGAGCAGAACAGTAGAACGTTAAACCCCATTTCATTTAATTTCATTTACAAAACCTCTACCGAAAAAAAATGAAAATCAATGATTCTTCGTATCTAACTTAAAACAGCTGTGTATAAAAATTTCAAGTCATTCGGACAACGTTAGTCTCTATTGGTCTCTAAAGAGTCCACAGGCAATTATGGCGACAACCGGGCCGATAAAAACAACTGAACCATTAAAGCTGGCCCTGCTGGTTTGTTCTTAGAAATTGACTCTTCTGATCAATATAAACTACTTCTTCAGTAGACCTTATATTTACTTCTTTGGGCCATACAATCAAGGAATTGGCCCGACACCATCGACTGTAGAAATGTATTTACCGCCAGCTGAGGGGCTCACAGTTTGTACATTCACTACATTGTGGAATTTTCATAAAATTGGTGATTTTTGTCTCACATACCGCAGGGTCCTCCATAAAGCGCGATGTCCTGTGCGATTTTCTAAAAGACAATGCACTTGGTCGAACATGACCGTATTCGTCCTGGTGGTCAAAAGACAACCCACGACGAAAATGTATTTTATATGCTATCAAAACGTTCCAAACCTATTGTATCCCAGTTTAGACTTTTCTGGTCTATATCAAGAAAATTTGTTTGAGTTGTACTCAAAGTTGTTGATAACTATGTATACCGTCTGTGATAATTTATGTGTATGAATATGTGAAGACTGACGAGCGCCTACGTGTGGTTTCAAACAACAAGCATTGCTATGGCATCTGTTTTACAATACAAGTATGCAAACCACGAAAAACACCCTGTTGTTTTCACACAGTTCACTAGAAAGATATTTTGGGTCCATTAATAAAGCATCGTTAAAGTAACATTATGTTCAAACACGTTACATGATAGAGATGAGTATAACAAACGCCTATCATAAGACGAATGGTGCCTATCGTGAGGTGCTGAAGTTGTCTATACCGAGATCTTTGCTTGTGCTATACACTTATAAAGATTTGTTCGTGTGTAATCAATATTCTAGTTTTTGAATAAGCACTCTCCGACAACTTGTCTTTTACGATGGGTTGATCCAAATTTCAGCTTTCATAGTCATTTAGAAAATGGATATATAAATCGTAACAATTTTTAAATTGAAACTTCACTTAAATAAATAAATGTAGATCTTAACGCCTGCTTCCACAAAAGGGATATCGCAGTCAAATATATTTATCCATATATTCATACGAATTAAATACAAAACGAAATATATTCAAAGTACAGATGACTTTAGACCGCATTGTGTTACTTGATTTATTTAGCCTTAATTCATGTGATTAACCGTATCTTTGTTCAGCCACCTTTACATTCTATCTTTAAGCAAAAGTGAATTCTATTATTGTACTTAAACAAGCTAATCAATCATTGTAAATGAGTGTTATCGCTTTTATTAGATAAAATTACTTAGCAAAAGAATTACTTTTCCAAAAAAGAAAATGTGTTTTTGAGTAAATGCCAACAGAAATGTCATAATATTTTTGTAAACAAGCCGGGTGGTATTATTTTTAATACTACCGAGCTAAAAGGTGTTATATTTTCACTGTTAATCCAAGCTGTTTGACATAATCTATGAGATATTTCATTTACACCACTAGTGAAAATATACATTTTTTTCAAGTCGTATATTTATAGTAAGTATTAATATAGATACGGAGTCTACTGTTACAAGAACATATTATTCATAGAATAAGAATAGAAATAATGACCTTCTTTGTTTTTCAGTTATTTCGTTTAAGATTTAGTTCTTTGTTTCTGCGAGTTGTAAGAGATTGTAAAGGTGAACATAAGTAATACTACATAAGGTAGATAGTGAAAATAAGGCTTCACGAAATTCACTCATCAGTGTAAGGAAGAAAATCTGATGAAAACACATCAATGATATTGTAATGCGTCGGAATTGGTATAGCTACATAATTATCTTGTCGAAGATATCTTTGGTGGAAGAGGACATTAAATAAAGCTATCCCACAAACATGTGTAATTGATTACTTTGTGCAAATAATATTATAGATGAAAAGATACGCCCACCAGCTTTATGTCGCTTCATTGGCCATAAACGATTGTCACAAACTTGCTTTTTTTGTCAAATAACAACCATAATGTTATTGATATTGCGCTTCGGACTATCAATTGGACGGTATAACTTATTTTTAACACATCTAGCCCTTAGTCGTTTAACGTCTGTTTGCACAATTGTGATATCGCAGACAATTTTTACAGATTAAAATCCAAGGACAAAAAACATAATTATAATCTGTTAATATAGCTTTTCAGGCAAGTTACCTCTCTCTAGATGTAATTAACACAAATTGTAATTTGAACTCTTCATATACATTCAAATTTATTGCTATTTTGTTGTCGGTAGACCATTCACAAGAATTTACAAGGGTTTTTATTAATGGATTTGTTCAAATTCTATAGGCTTAAGCTTCGTCGTCTCGGTAATTTGAACAATTAATATAAGTAAATGCTAACGTTTGTCACAAGAATTTAAAAGAAAACAAGTGTAATAACTCTAAATCAGATTGAACTCTAGATGTAATTAATATGAATTGCTGTAATTCAATAGGATCCCCCCTTTTACGAACTTGGACAATGTATATAATTTTCAAGCAGATCAGACGTTTTGTTACTAGAGCGATCAAAAATTCAACAACGGCCATAACTATAGAGGTAATTAACGAAGATGGGTTGAATAAAGGAGAGTTGGGGTGGAATTTACGGAATAGTTAGGGAACACATCCATTGATGTGGCTCTAGAAAAATGTATGGAGACCGTTGTGTAATCTACGATGTAGATTGTGATTTTGATTGATGTTCGATTGACCAGCCTTTATTATCTACTTACTCCTTCCATTCATATCCATCTATAAATGCTTGTAAATACGACTTCAGTATCCTTAATTCTCTCTTTTCTCCTCGATTAAGTTGAGTCTGGTCAATGTCATCTACCAACTTTAAGAAGTTCTCACATATTTCCTGTAACAAAAATGAAATATATCGTTATCATCTACAGAGATTAATACACCTTTAAACCAAGTTAAACTGGTTCACAATATTGGACGATTATTGACATCGTTTAATGCAATATACTATATAATAGTATACTGATTTAACTTTGCATATTCACTTCAGTTATTTATCTATTGGTTTATTTCCTGTGAAATACATTAGAGTTATAATTTCCTGCTGCAATGCGTATGCTGGACTGATAGAGTAATGTTCCACAAACACAACTAGTAACACTTTATAAAAATGAAATATTGAAATTGGCGGTTCTATGTGAGCATGACGTTGGACTTTTGTTTATCCAGTAATTTGGCCTACGATACAGCCACCAGGACTGTGATAAATAGAACAAGCGCTTGAGACATGGAAAATCTCATTCAAAAATAACATTAAACTGAATCTAAGTATTATACAAAGTCTATTATGGTTAAGTTCGTATGTGAAATTATCAAATTTAATAGCAATTTATTCATCTGTAAACAATTCTCTATCAACATGTATAACATAGAAAGGCACGAAACACACTGTCAAAGAAAGGTGTGATCAAAGTCCACAACCCTAAATCCCGTCAACCAGTCGTAGTATTCGCTAATTCTCATGACTACTTAGACAATTGCGTCTACGACGATTATCACATCCTCGAGTCTACCATTTTCAATTAACGTCGTAGACTAACTGGATTGTCTAACTAGTTAGAATTACGAACATTTATAAACCTGTAACAGTAAATCTCTTTGATCTTTGGGGTATATTCTATGCCCAGAATAACTGGAGGTCTGAAAGTCGGGGGAGGTTTTGGATATATACAGGGAAATTTGGGGTTATTCTTCTGAAAGTTTTTCTTTAAACCTGTAACGGGTTATTCTTCCAGGGTAGGTTTTTTCCCCATCAGAAAACATGATATATGGTTTTTCTTGTGGGAATTCTGAGATATTACCATCTTGCGTACATGTAAACATAGACGGTTTATAAGCAAGATGAAGTCATCGACTTCGGTTATGCTGGGGAAGAAAGACTTCAGAAAAAACCCCTCGACAGTCTTTCTTTCCCCAGCATAAACTCAGTCTCGTGCTTTATCCTACACGGACACTATAGACTTTAGACGTATTACTTAGCCTCTTTTTAGTATTATATTTAAAATAGATTTTCCATGTTACAGGCGTCTGCGATATATAGTTGTATTTTAATTAAACTTTTTACATTGAAGAGAAAGAAATTCATGCGGGAAAAGAATAGTAAAGGATCAGATAGCCATGCGTAAAAAAAACAGTAAAGGATCAGATAGCCATTCAAGTTTCGAGTTGGGAAATGCAACGAACATTCGTGTCATAAAATATGAACAGACTGGAGACCGTTGTACTTAGTTTCAATTCCAGTAGGGATTTCAAATATTCTAGTCTTTAAGACAAAGCTGCTGTTGGATATACAATAGTGTGGGGTATATTGTCATATTGTCGTCATACTGAGCAGTTCTTCTATTAGAAGGTGATATCGCAGACAAGCTGTCTTATATTATTATGCTTAATTGACGTTGGCTACGATGATCACAGAACAAAATGCCATAAATGTTAAATAAAATTCTTTTGATTATATCTTAATCCCAAATGGGATTTCATATATTCATTTTCCTTAAGACAAAGCTTCTGTGGGACGTTCAATAATGCGGGGTATATTGTCGCCATATTCTTCAATTTGCAAACGCGTGGCGCCCCATAGCCTCCACATAAGTGATATAAGAAAGTTTGGATCAGGGCAAACGAATCAGGTACCTATTGGCGTGTGGGTGCCATTAAAACCGACCGACTGATCAGTGCCTTAAGAGCATCACTGTGTGATCATAATCAAGTGTATTATTTTAATTGAAAGGTTGTCATTTTTTTTTTTTTTTGAAGGGGCGCTTTTTCTCGGGGCGCCTTATTTTTCTGGGTGTGCAATATACCCCCTGCATCCCGCTAGATACGGCCCTGCTGTGGACGGACAAACGAGCATCCCCCCATAGTTATTCATCGCAATACACGAAACGTAGATCAGAAATATAGAAATGATGATAATAATTCCTAGAGAATGTGTATTTTGTACTATGATTAAGGAACAAATTGCTAAATAAATTTCTTTTGATTATAATTAACCCCAATTGGGATTTCAAATATTCTTGTCTTTCGACAAAGCTGCTGTGGGACGTACAATAATGTGGGTATATTGTCGTCGTACTGTACATTTCGCGGAAAGTGGAATACCCCTACACGTAGTCTTTGTATTAGAGTGGTAGAAGAAAGTATCTCTTACAATGTTTTAAAATGTTTCATCTCAGAAACAAACAAATAATCAAACTTTTCGAAGACTTTCGATAAAACTTGATATTTTCGTAAATTAATTAAGAGAATCTGATTATATTCACAGGTTTATAAATCAATACATGCCTGTCTTTGTATCTCTTACGACATAGTTACCGTTCTTGGATACTATTTCGGCGGTGTGTTGGACTTGACTGATAATAAGTAAGAAGGTCTGAATTTAAAAAAAAAGCGATCTTATCGGTCAGTAACTGGTAATGGTTAAATGGAGCAGCTGAGTGTTTACCCTTATTATAAAGATGTTATAATGATAGTTTAAACGGCTCAGCGCAAAATGTATCTCCTTCTATGCATGGCCATCAAACTATTATAATTACATGATTTTCTACTGAATGGGTTTAACAATTGGCATGAAAACGATTTATAAATTCCACCTTTATTTCTAAATGGGGCACCTCTGATTCTGAACTTGAGAGTAAATTTCGAGATGTTTCAGCACCATTTTTTCTTAAGTTATACTTTACAATATTGACGCACTGACAAGATTCTATGACATTATCAAGGACCATAACTCTATAAGCTATTACCAGAAATTGTTGTAATACATAATATAAACTCAAATTAGATGTGAAATAAAAATAAGACTATAGGACCGGGTGCTTGAATTGTGACCAGCCTATTTTAATCACAGAATTATAACGGTCCAAAAGTGATAAATAAAATTCTTTTGATTGTATTTACATCTCAAAGCTTGCGGTAGGGTGAGTGTTACAACGTGCACAGTTCAGAAAGAGTGATATTTCTACCCGTAGTATGTTTATTTTAATATAATGGTAATATTTCAAATATGTTCTCTTAAAACAAACAATAAAACAAACCCTCTCATGTCAAAAATTTCTATATACTATTTTGTTTTATAGTCCACGCTGGTATAATATAAATAATTTATATGTGTATATTCAAATTGACCTATTTTTGGGGGGTTTTTTTTGTCTAACTACCGTTTCTAAAGCTCCGTTTTTTAAAGTAAAATTTAATTTTTACAAGAAATTCATTGATCGCCATTTTATTTAACAAATGAAAACGAGACAGGTGTAGAAGAATAGATTATTACTCTAACGGCCCTTTTTTTCCAAAATAATTAAAAAAAAAAACCACACAAAGAAATTTTTAATGTTTTAGTGAAGACAAAAGTTGATTTACGTTAAGTATCTGCTATATAGATAAAGTCTAAAAACAAAATACAACTTTATCATGGGCAACAATTCTCAAAGTAATTATCAGAAATCATTGAAAATCAATATAAATCAACATAAACACTAAACATAAAGTTTAAATTAACCTGATGATAACTTTAACTTCTAGAATGTGCTGACAATATAAAACCACATTTGAATTACGATTAATAATCCTTTCCCCTCATTTCATTATGTATGAATGTAGTGCCTTTATTTTTTGCAATTGCAGTTCCGTCTTTCTCCACCCAACCCCTTTTCATGGTATTTGTGCTGCCTTTGCGGAGGAAGAACCAGGAAGTAAACAGGCATGAATTAGAGAAAATGGAATACCTCTACACGTAGGACCAGGAAACAAGCATGAATTAGAGAAATCACATACGCAAATGACATCAGACCCTATAGATTCCTTTGACAGGTGATAGCAAAAGATCGAGACGGTCAACACCCATTTATATGTTTTATCAGATGATTGTGACCTGTTGGGCTCTTTCTGGTTATAAAGATTATGTTCATCGGAATACACAAAACATGTTATATTTAAGCCAGGGAATCCCCCCCCCCAAAAAAAACCAACCAAATACCCCCCCCCCCCCAACAATGTTTTAAAATGTCTCATCTTATAAACAAACAATTTTTTCGATGATTATCGATAGAACCTGTTATTTTCCTAAAATAATTTTGAGAATCTGATTATATTGACAGGTTTATAAATAAATGCATGCTTGACTCCGCATCTCTTAGACAGAGTTATCGTTATTGGATACTAATTCGGTGATGAATTGGACTTAAAACATAAGCGAGAAGGTCCGCATTTAAAAAACGCGATCTTGTCGATATTTCAGCACCATATCTCTAAGTTATAATATTATTCAACATAATCAAAGGTCATAAATCCATAAGTTATTACCAGAACTTGTTGTAATATATAGGCGATGCTCTGGAATTTAATTCTATCAAACCCAAAAATTGTGACAATCAAGTGAAAATAGTGATTTGGGGCTTGAACACATGTGTCGACTGCACGAGGAAATACCTCAATCATGACAGCTGAAGCATATTTAATTAAATCACGATTCTACTCACACCACCTGCGTTTTCAGGACAGACAGAACTGTGACGGGACTTAATTTCGCGTCACACGATGGCAATTCCTTCAATTCGTGAGGTTGTGGACGGACAATCGAGCATCCCCCCCCCCCATAGTTATTCATCGCAATAAACGAAACGTAGATCAGAAATAATGACAATAATTCCGAGACAATGTGTATTTTGTAATACGATTAAGGAATAAATTTCTTTTGATTATATCTAATCCCAATTAGGATTTCAAATATTCTGTCTTTACGACAAAGCTGCTGTGGGACGTACAATAATGTGGGTATATTGTCGTCGTACTGTTCATTACGCGGGAAGTGGAATACCTCTACACGTAGTCTTT